AATCTTTTCTTCAGCCTCTGAGTACTTAGCAAACAAACTAAATGCAATAATATCAATGTAAATGTTTTAAATATTATTATAAGTAAATGTGCCTTTTCTTTGCGTCTGGGTACCTAGGAAGCAAACAGAGTACACAATTGTAACAAGTGAAGCAAATGAGAGTTACTCTTCTTTGCTAGATTGTGTTAATCAAGAAATCTCTATATATAATTCAAATAACAGATTATTTGATCGAATAAGAATACAAGGAAGAATGCTTTATACATAGAAACAAAATAAAAATGAATGTTTGGTTTAAATGAGCAAAGCATGCTGAGAGTCATATTCTTTCCTGGAAAGCAATATAAAAGATTGACATAAAGGTTATTTATATACTTGGCAAAAGTTGAAATTGTACATAGTTGGTATACACTATGGTAATCTGTTTGACTGTGGATGAGTTATTATCAGGTAAAGTAAAGATTGAAAAGAGACTGGATAAAGTTGTTTTTATACTTTATCAAAGTGAACAAAGAATCACAAAGAGCCAGGGTGACTTGTTGTAATTATTGACAAGTGGAAAATAGCAACGTTATATAGCCAAGTCTCTGTGTACTGAATTGTAGCACTAGGCAAGTAACATATGTTGAATACCTTACATAATAGGCAAGTGTTCATTGTATTTGTATATTCTGCATTCATTATCATCCCTCTAAGGCTTGGGAAAACCAAGTACATGTATGATCACAGGGAGATCGCTCGGGTCTAGCACGCTACAATAAGCAAGTGTATTTTTACCAGATTTTTGAAATTCTTGGGCAACATTGCTTTGTCTATCTGTTAATTTTGTTTTATACTTCTATGGATCCTTTACAATGTTTGTATAATTCTCAGGTGACCGTTAAGGCCCTTGGGCCTCGTGTAAAAGAATGTATTCTTTTCGCTATATGATCAATAGAGCCCCATCACAACTCTGGAAACCCTGAAACAAAGTTCATGAATTTCACAATTTTGGTGGAGTGCTCAATGCTTACTACAATCATGTCAACAGCTTAATTGTTTGATTTCCAGGAATAAAGAAGAAGATTTTTGAAAGAACTTTACGGAAATTTCTATTTTTAGTAACCATGAAGAAAGAATTTCACAGAAATTTCTATTTTTAGTTACCATGGTAACACCGTTCATTAAATAAAAAACCGATAAACAGGCTTAAATATCTTAGTGTAGTTTACTTTGTACCAAGTTATATTGAAATATAATAGACCAAAACTGTAGGAGGAATAGCATTTTGAACAAGAGGCCCATGGGCCACATCGCTCACCTGAGCACATTAGCTAGACACAAATCAGTTCAGTATTGAAAAGATTACTGGGGGTTGGGGGGGGGGGATTTTAAACTACCTGATGATGCTTCCATGTCAATATAAAAAATGGCTTTGTTGTACTTGAGAAGATTTAAAAAAAAAATTTCCCACATATTCCTTTGTAAAATTTTGATCCCCCATTGTGGCTCCTCCCTATCCCAGAGGTCATCATTTGAACAAACTTGAATCTACACTACCCGAGGATGCTTCCATATCAATATGACTAAACATAGCTTTTCTGTTCTTGAGAAGAAATTTTTTTCTATGTGTTCTTATGTAAAACTTTGATCCCCATTGGGCCCCAAACTACCCCTGGGGATTATCATTTGAAAAAAAAATTGAATTTACACTACCTGAGGATGCTTCCATATCAAAATGACTAAACATGATTTTCATTTCTTGAGAAGAAGATATTTTCCAATATGTTCCTATGTAAAAAATTTTTGATCCCCCATTGTGGCCCATCCCTATCCCCGGGGGTCAAACTTGAATCTACACTACCTGAAGATGCTTCCATATCAAAATGACTAATCATGGCTTTGCAGTTCTTCATCAGAAGATACCTTCCTATATATTTCTATTTCAGACACTGATCCTCCATTGTGGCCCCGCCCTACCCCAGGGGGTCATGATTTGAACAAACTTAAATCTATACTACCTGAGGATACTTCCACATAAATATGATCAATCAGGGCTTTGCTGTTCCTGAGAAGAAGATTTTTAAAGATTTTTCCTATATATTTCTATGTAAAACTTTGAGCATCCATTGTGGACCCGCCCTATCCCCCAGGGTCATGATTTGAACAAACTTGAATCTTCACTACCTGAGGATGCTTCCATATAAATATGACTCATCATGGCTTTGCTGTTCTTGAGAAGAAGATTTTTAAAGGTTTTTCCTATATATTTCTATGTTAAACTTAGATCCTCCATTGTGGCCCCGCCCTACCCCCGAGGGTCATGATTTGAACAAACTTGGATCTACACTACCTGAGGATGCTTCCACATGAGTTTCAATTTCCCTGGCTTTGTGGTTCTTGAGAAGAAGATTTTTAAAAGATGCTATTAATTTTTCTCTAATTCTTTATTATCTCCCCTTGAAAGAGGGCGTGGCCCTTCATTTGAACAAACTTGAATCCCCTTCACCCAAGGATACTCTGTGCCAAGTTTGGTTGAAATTAGCCCAGTAGTTCTGGAGAAGAAGTTGAAATTGTGAAAAGTTTACGCCAACGACGACGCCAACGACGACAGACAACGGACAAATTTTGATCAGAAAAGCTCACTTGAGCCTTTGGCTCAAGTGAGCTAAAAATTGTTTACAGACAGACAGCCAGACGGACGGACGACGGACACCTTGCTATCGCATAAACTCTTCTTGTCTCTGACCAGTAGAGCCAAAAAAAAAACATGCAGCTTAACGAATATTGTGAATAGATTATGAATTGAAAGCTTACAAAAGATACCCATACTTTCAAGTTTAGATTCATTGATTGCCTTGATATTGTCATTCACTGCAGCTACATGCAACTCTAAAGTTGCACATATACATCCTAAAATTTACATACACAGCACAAATTTAGTTTTTAAACAGTAACCTTGGTTTATAACTTTGGTCAAAACCCAGCCCTTAATTTGTCTAACATACTGAAATATTTACCAGTCCCTTAATATTTCCACACAAGTCACTAACTTTACCATTGAACCCATTACCAAATGTGTCCCTCTTTCTATTAATTCCTGCATAAATACGAAAATATAGCATACACTTACGAGTAGTTCGTTTCTTCAGAATCATTGAGAAATATATATTTAGAAAGGACTGTCCACCATCATGAGATTTTATCTGAAATCTGTTCACGGTACCGTAAATCGGTGCTATATAACACATGCGCTTTTTTAAAAACGTTTTTCAAACCGTAATAATTATGTGAGGGAATAAATTAAATATCAAACCTGTGGAGAATATATTTTAGGCAGATAACAATATTTGTTGTTAATATCATTATAAAAATATGCACTGATATGTATTATATGTATGCTCTTTTTTGGTGAGAGAGTTTAACACTTGTTGACCTGTTGACCATTTGAATAGAAGCTAATTTTGTCAGATATACATATGGGTAATTATTTGAAGAAGATAAAAAATACACAAACCTAAGTAAACACTAGCAAAGAATTCACCAACGATCTACCGCAAAATTCGTACGAATTTAAATGAATGTTCTGATTAATGCAAATGTGCATGTACAAACAACATGCATACTAAAATCCACGGCGAGAAACACGTTCAACTTACCTGTTTTGCAATGAACGTCGAGGATTTTGAGAATATTGCATCCTGTAGACCAAGTTTGGGAAGAAGATAATGTACTCCTTTTGTTCATGTAATCCAGCCATATTGCTATACATTTGACCATTGGAGCACACTCAGTCCGTGCTGATGATTTTGATCAGGGGAAATGTCCAAATTGGATTTTTTTTAAGCATTGATAAAATCAAAGAAGTTCATCGACTGAGTTTTTTTAAATTTTTTGTAAAAACACATACACCGTGGAATTGCTGAATACCATATCTCAGTTTTAACACTTTGGTACACTATTCATATTTAGGATAAATAAAAACCGATTTTTTTTCTTCCAAAACTCAAATATCTTTGCTTAAATAGATGCCTCTCTGTTTAGTTAAACAACTTAATTTATAATATAATTTGATGAAAAATGGGGGTGGGGGGGGGGGGAGTAACTTTACAGTTCAAAATAATTTCTGAAAATAGTTAGAAATATTTCACTGAAATTTTTGTTTCTGTTAAGTTTCTGAAAAAATTTCGAAAGTCTAACTTTACATTTTACACAATAAAAATTTCCTTATTAGAATCCAATTAAAAGAAATATTGAAATATATAGTAATGAAACTCTGTGTGAAGTGAAAAAAAAACTGTTTGTTGTATACAACAGCATAACAGCATACAAGTACATGTTTTAATGCTAATTTGGACATGTACATACTTCCTTCTTAAATTTGGCCGATCGGATGTTGTAAGTCACGTATTCCTCGACATTTTTGAATTCTATCCCTCTAGGTTTTCACGCAATCAAATTTGGGCTCATTCTCTCTACATGTATGCTGTGGAAATTCCATAAACATCCATCTTTGATTTTCTATGCATATGAACTCTAAAAATCTTTCCGAATAAAAACCAAATATTTTTTTTTTGGTTCGGATATTCTTTGTATATATATATATATATATATATATATATATATATATATATATATATATATATATATATATATATATCCACACGCATGATTTTCTCGCGGAAGGCGGGGGGGGGGGGGAGGGTCTTTAAAAAAAATTGACCACTTGATGGCAGGAAAAAATGTTAATATGAAATGAGAAAATTTCTGGGAAAAAATTAACCGATGAGGTATAGATTAAGAAGCCAGTTTTCTGAGGGTCGTGTCACCGAGGAAAAAGACTTATCTTTCTTTTTCCTCATGGGCGTTATTAAAAAAAATCCTTAATACTATTTCCTTAAAAGCACCAACAACGGTACTATAAATTTTTAATACAAAGCTGCCATTATGAAAAACTTCATAAAAGGAATGCGTTGAAACAATTAATTACAATTGTATAAAACTTTTGTAACATAAACGCGTTCACATAAAGATCCTGTCAAAATGCAATTTGTTTCTTTACTTAAGCATCAAAGAGCAACAGTCCAATAGTCATGTAATTACAATCACACACAACTTTCCTCCTTGCACCAACCATTTCTTTGGACAGAATAATCCATGTTCTTCACCACCATTTTATCTGAAGGTTTCACGGTTATTACACTTCTACTAGACACTGTTTGCTTTGCTTCTTCTATCAGGGATTCGCTGTACATGTTCTCGAGCTTCTGGAGAACATGCGAGAGGACAGAGAGATCTACCCGGAAGAATCCACTGAAAGGGGAGTCCAGGTCTGAGACGACGTAACACAGCATGCTGATGGAGAAGACTGTGATAATGCACATTACCAGTTCCATTCGATAAGAGTAAGCCCGCAACAATAAAATTCCAATGAAAGAAAAGAAGCCCAAGGACTCAAGGAACGCCCATCTGCAAGTTACGGAGATTCAATGAGCACATTCAATAAATAAAGACTGCTTCTGAATTTGTAATTTTGAAATGAAGGCTGTGATTTTTTTTTTTATTTTAGTGGAGTTTAATTTTTTGCGATTTCATGTCTTCCACTAAATGTTAACTTATATTTCGAACAAAAGTTTAATATTCATGTCTTCTAGCAGGAAATCAAATTCCCATGAACCAATATTAATTTTGTTTCCTCCAACCACATAAATTTTGCCACATGAAAATAACTGATTGCACATAATTTATTTCATATGAACACTTACTTAACTGGATGGATCTTTGAGTGAAGGACACCGATTCTGTCTGAACAAATGCTGTTTAGCTTCATAATATGTGACAGTATCTTTTCACACAGAATCCGGTCCACGTGACATTTTGGACTCGTGTCCACCTGCCGCAGGAGGTCCACTATGCTCCAGATCTTAACTAAAGTGAAACACGGAAGAATTTTGAAAACATATCATGACCAAAATTAAAATTAAAACCAGCTACATGTAACTTTAGAAACTTCATTTTTCCAAAGATGTCATAAAACTATTTATGAAACTCTGGTATGCTCTTAATTCTAACATAAACTTAAAATTAGACCTTCCTTCATGTAAAGGTACAATCGGACGCATGTACGTACACTTTCCCAGAGTAAGATTAGAAAAAAATGAACATGCTGATCCAACATTGACGTCTTACCTTTAATGTCTTCAGTTGGTTTGTTCTTGTAAGACGAAGGTTCACGATTGAGCAATTGCAAAATCATAAATATCGCTTCTGCCTTAACTGCTCGGTATATATGGCGCCGAACAGATGGACGAGAAAGAGTCATTTTAGTAGAGAAAGTAGCAATCTGGTCAACCATACTGATTTCGCTTGTTACTTTTTCAAGAATATGATGCTGCTTTGACAAAGCTTGTTGAAAGGCAAATCCAAAAGATGTTGCATAAACCAAACCAGCTGGTGCAAGAAAGCATGCTACAGCGTCATTAATATCTGGGGCAGTAGCGAACTCCTCAGGTGGCCATAAAAAGTTGACTAAAGGGTAATATAAGTATAATGTTATGGGACAAAGAGCCAGGGACAGTATAGCTGGTAGAGCTATGATAAATAGATCCAGAGGTCTGTTATGGGATGTACTGAGGCTTTCAATAACCTCTTTATCAAAATCACTGTAAAAATTGTCCTCCTCCAAGTAATCATGGTCATCTTCATAGTCTATGTCGTATAACTTCACAGTGGAACTCGTCTTCTCCTCCTTTTTCAATATCGACCTCTTTAGAAGTAACATGAAGCTATTACAATGAGAATTAAGAAGAAGGGTTAATCCAGCTGGAAAACAGAGAAAGTTATTAAATCAAACATGAAAATAAGCATGTAGTCTGAAAAACATTAACATGACAATGAATCATATGATATGTGGTAAGGTGTTACTTTAATAAGAATAAAAAGATACATTATAAAAGATATGTTCATAATGGTTTTAAGCTGGAATACATACCAAAACCAATAACAAGAATCAAAGCGAATGGAGGAATCACGATTTCTACTGCGGACGGACGAACTTCAGGTTCAGTTTCTGATTCAACAATACTTGGGGATTCTGGAAAAATTTCATTCACTTTCAACTCAGCCTCAGCTTCGGGTTCTGGCAATGATGAGGTCTCTGGTTCTGTTTCTGATGATACTGAGACCTCTGGTTCTGTTTCCGGAAATGATGTGGCCTCTGGTTCTGTTTCTGGTGATAAAGTGGCCTCCAGTTCTGCTTCTGGTGATGATGTGGCCTCTGGTTCAGTTTCTGGTGATGATGTGACCTCTGGTTCAGTTTCTAGTGATATTGTTGCCTCTGGTTCAGTTTCTGGTAATGATGTGGCCTCTGGTTCAGTTTCTGGTGATGATGTGGCCTCTGGTTCAGTTTCTGGTGATGATGTGACCTCTGGTTCAGTTTCTGGTGATGATGTGGCCTCTGGTTCAGTTTCTGGTGATGATGTGGCCTCTGGTTCAGTTTCTGGTGATGATGTGGTTTCTGGTTCAGTTTCTGGTAATGGTGTGGCCTCTGGTTCAGTTTCTGGTGATGATGTGACCTCTGGTTCAGTTTCTGGTGATGATGTGGCCTCTGGTTCAGTTTCTGGTGATGATGTGGCCTCTGGTTCAGTTTCTGGTGATGATGTGGTTTCTGGTTCAGTTTCTGGTAATGGTGTGGCCTCTGGATCAATTTCTGGTAATGATGTGGCCTCTGGTTCATTTTCTGGTGATGATGTGGTTTCTGGTTCAGTTTCTGGTAATGGTGTGGCCTCTGGATCAATTTCTGGTAATGATGTGGCCTCTGGTTCATTTTCTGGTGATGATGTGACCTCTGGTTCATTTTCTAGTAATGATGTGGCCTCTGGTTCAGTTTCTGGTGATGATGTGGCCTCTGGTTCAGTTTCTGGTGATGATGTGGCCTCTGGTTCAGTTTCTGGTGATGATGTGGCCTCTGGCTCAGTTTCTGGTGATGATGTGGTTTCTTGTTCAGTTTCTGGTAATGATGTGGCCTCTGGTTCTGTTTCTGTTAAAGATGTACCTTCTGGTTTAGTTTCTTGTGATGATACGAATTTTGGTTCAGTTTCTGGTGATGATATACCTCCTGGTTCCGGTGATGATGTGGGTGGAACGTGTTCAAGTGTTGAAGTACTTTGTTCTGATAAAGCTTCTGGAATTGAAGATGATAACAATGCAAGTGACTTAAATTCTTTAGCCATCTTAACACAAATGGCGATAGAATTTAAAGGATTTCTTTTATTTAAAATCCCCCCCCCCCCCAAAAAAAAATCTTACCTTTTGTAGATTCCAGAACAAACAGAAGACACATATAAACAAAGCAGCGTATTGAACTTTTCATTTTCTTTCTTGAAACATTTATCCCTTAAAAAATGACAAGTCAATTAAGAAGAAAAAGGAAATCCATGTTTCGGACATTTCCATCAGACATCGATTGGCTTCAAGAAAATAATCATTATACTACCAGTGTAGCTTACACATCTATTAATGAGACTCCTATTTGTCAATGAAAAACTTGATCAATATACCAATATTGTTCAGGTATTAGGCTGCTTTTACTTCGTTGCTTAAAAAATATACATTTTATGCTTATCAATAATACGGCGCTGTCAACCATACAGAAAACTCCTAATAAAATGTTTGTACAAATATGACGAATCGACCGATTTTATCACTTCTTTTATAATAAAGGATGCACGGATACGGAGGAGAATTTCTCTCTCTCTCTCTCTCTCTGACAGTGATCTGTTCGTAATTTTCTATTCACTGTAGGGGACCATAACGAAAACAATTCGGACAATGTTCAAGTATTTGCTTTCTTTTAATTTCTCATATATTCACTTCTTCTTTCCATCGATTATTTAACTTATTTTCACCATTACATAATTTTTCTATTCTCTGCTTTTTGGGATAGCTCCTTGTCATGATAGTTATAACACCTACGAAATCCATTTCACATGAAGCTGACTAAATAAATATAAATGTGATTGGCAGTGAATTTTATTTACCGAAACACCTTATTTTCGTTAATTGTTTACTTATGCGACATGCCTACTATTTGTGAGTTGAAAGTGTTTGTGTTCCATTACGTCAATTCATACATGTATGATATCTGAAATACTGTTAAAAACAACTTCCCATTCAAACAACAAATCCTTGATTTATAAGATGGATGGAGTGAAGCTGATAACATTTCACGTAAATAAAGTAATATTTTTTTCTTTCCCGAAGCATTTTTGCAACCCTTGGAATTGATCTCTTCCCCATTTAACTCTTCAAAATAAATTATTATTTTATTAAAATCACCAACAAGTGCAGTAATCAATACTGCACAACGTTTTTTCTCGTAAAATGCAATTTATATTGCACGGTAAAGAAAAAGTGTGTGTTGGGGAGGGGGGGGGGTAGTCTCCTATAACAGTTCAACACATCTGGCATAGAATTTGAAGAATCTGGCAGAGAATACAAAGTAAGGAGGATAACTCAAGTTATTTTATGACAAGAGATTTATAAGATAATTACGGGCATAAAGAGAACAAATATAGGAGGGAAAAAGGTCTAAAATACAGGTGAAAAAGAGCATAAAATAGATATCTATATATTAAACATGTATGCGTATAACTCTTGTATATATTGTGGTAATGGGTATTACTACGATGACAATACATACATCCTAAGTAGAGTTGCAGAGACTGAAGCGCACAGGAAATAAATTGTGTATTTTTTAACATTTTTGAACTATTTTTTTTTTCTTTTATATCTTTCAAAAGGTTTTTTCCCTTAGTGAAGAATTTGGATTAAAAAATCACATAGTTTAAATAATGTAGTGTGCTCTTCATTTGTCATAATCCAGAAATTTTTTTTGATTATTGGATACTGTGGTGAATTTTTTATTATTCAAATGAAAACTTTGGTTCCTTATTGTGGCCCCAACCTACCCCGGGGGCCATGATTTAAACAATTTAGAATCTACACAACCCCAGGATGCTTCCCCATAAGTTTCAGCTTTTTTGGCCCAGTGAATCTTGAGAAGAAGATTTTTTAAAGATTTTTTCGTTATTTCAATGTCAAACTTTGATTCCCTATTGTGACCCCACCCGCTACCCCTAGGGGTCAAGATTTGAACAATTAAGAATCTACACTACCCCCAGGATGTTTCCATATAAGTTTCAGCTTTTCTGGTCCAGTGGTTGTGGAGAAGATTTTTAATTTTTCCTATATATTTCAAGTGAATACATTGATTCTCTATTGCCCCCCCCCTTTACCCCCGGGGGTCATGTTTTGAACAATTTAGTATCTACACTACCCCAGGATGCTTCCAAATAAGTTTCAGTTTTTCTGGCCCAGTGGTTCTGGAGAAGAAGATTTTTAAAGATTTTTCCTAAATATTTCAATGTGAAACTTTGATTCCCTATTGTGGCCCTACCCTACTCCCGGAAGCCATGATTTGATCAATTTAGAATTAACACTGTCCTAGGATGCCGTCACATAAGTTTTAGCTTTTCCAGCCCAGTGGTTCTTGAGAGGAAGATTTTTCAATGACCCCACCCTATTTTTGTTTTTTCTTGATTATCTGCCCTTGTAAGGATGCTTGGCCCCTTTATTTTGACAATTTAAACTCCCCTTTACCCAAGGATGGTTTGTACCAACTTTGGTTAATATCGGCCCACTGGTATTTGAGAAGAAGTTGAAAATGTGAAAAGTTTACAGACGGATGGAAGCACGACGTACAACAGGTGATCAGAAAAGCTCACTCGAGTTTTCAGCTCAGGTGAGCTAAAAACCTTTGAAAACTTTCGGTACGTCAAGGTTTTTCCGCACTTTTTCAGCCTTAAAGTCAGCAACAGTTTCCCGTCCTATGACGTCACAAAACTTTTCCATTTATTATGTGTAGTGAAAGTCGGAAAATTTATAACGGTTTTAAGTATAAATCACCTGAATATATTGTAAGCAAGCAAGCATTATGTCTACCTTTTCCACAACTATATTTTACAGCTATATTTAGCTTTAGAGGTTGCCATTGGTGATGACGTCACTCTTGGTAACTCAAGGAACTGTTGCGTTGTGGTTACTGTTGTTAGTTACTCACTTCGATCAGTGGCGAGTAGACGTGTTTTTCACAGAGCAACAAAAATCTCAAATATCACTATGAAAAGAGAAAGATCTTCCGAAAGAAAGAGCAAGAGTGTGTCTAAGAGGGTAATTCTTCAGGAAATAAATTTCTTTTGGTCTTTAATGTTTGTTTTCATGAAATATAGTAAAATTTACGACGTCAAGGGGAATAACGATACATGTATATGTGGCCAAATTACCATCTTTAAATGTTGGAGAAAATATTCAACCGACCTCAGATTATAGACCTAAAATTCATAGATCTACGATCATGTGAAAAAGGGGAGGGATGGGGTAGGGCATGAATTTCAGTACAAAGACTTTAAGAATACTGTGTGACGAAAACATCATATTCCCGTTTAATTTTAATCTTATAAGGCTTATTGAAAGTACTCACCGTTGTCTGATTTACGGTTTAGACCTCAGTCTAGAAAAATGGGCATAAACAAAATTAAAACAAAAAAAATTTTCATTGTAAAGATTTTTCGTAGACAAAACATGAAGAAAAGACAACAGCAATAAACATCGGTACATAGAGGAAATTCGGTCACGATAAATAATCATCATGGCATTGATAATGTATGCTTCATTCCATTCCTAAATATCAGCCAGTTTTTAGCTTTACGAAATCCTGCTTACATAATGTATCCATTTGCAAACTTACCTCTCAAAATTCATCATGCTAATAGAAATAAATTATTTTAATCTCTTTGAATCCCTCTCTCATCTGCAAATCAAATAAGAAAAGGGGAGCGTACTGAGAGCAATCGTAAAAGGAGTTGTTCCCCTTTGACCATAAAATGAAGTGGTCAACTATTTTTATTTCAAAGCAAGATTTTTTATTACTTTCTCTAACTAGCACTCTCTGCTACCACATGCATAACTACAATGTATTGCAATAACATCTTTTTGGGGGGAAAAGGGGGGGGGGGGTAATTGACCAGCGAAAAAAAGGAAAATAGGCAGTTTCAACAAAACTAGTATCATTTTACTTTCATTTTCGGCAGAATTTTTTTTCGGTATACAAGAATGTGAAGGCATTCGACCTAAGAATGAAAAATTCCGTACTAAATTAACAGCAAAAGACCTCTTCTCAGAAAAGAAGTGGAGGGGACCAGCCCCCCTCTCCACCCCAACCCGTACTTAACTATAAGGGTCTGATTAATTCGCAACTCAAAATGCAAAGAGCTGTAAAATTTCAACATTAATAAATCCATGGGAAAAATAAACCATTACTGTGGAAAGCACAACACTGTGCAAAATTTTTTAAACAAAAAATCAAAACAAAACAAAAACGTGGGTGGCAGTAAGGGGAGGGGGGGGGGTGTCCTGTTGTACATAGGCAAAATACATGTTTACATAAATTTTACATTTTTAACGTTTGTTTGCAAGTAGATAAAATTACTGCTGTTTTATAAAATTTATTTATCTGGCTTGAGTTAGTTTTAGATAAGAAATGTGAAAATGCAAATCCCTTAGAATAATCAAGAAGGTTTTTGTTGTAATTCTAGCGCCGTGTAGAGGCCTCTTCAGATGACAGTCGTCAGTGGTACGAGGTGATGCTTGCCCTGGCGGCCAAATTAGCTGTAAGTCTCTCTCTCTCTCTCTCTCTCTCTGCCTCTTTCTCAACTTCAACCTCTAAATTTTTTCTATAATTTCTCTCCAGTGCAAGCAAGTCTTTGCTTCTGCTGTTCATGAATGGAGAGATCATATTCGAGACTGGGCAAGAGTCTGAATTGGGATATTCTTTGCAATAAATCAAATTCACTTCTGTGTGTTCATACCAATATTTTCTTTTTGGTGTTTAGATAGTCATGTTTTATAATAGTACTTCTATTTTTTTTTTTTAGCGTGAATTGACCAGTGCCATCAACAAGTCTGAGGAGCGTAGAGAGCTTCCTACCATACCACAACCTACGCACCAGGTTAGTGTCGGACTCATTTTCATTATTGGAAGAACATATAGACACAAATATTCCTTTTACTTACTAATTACTTATTCAATATACGAATCTACGAACAACAATCAAGCTTTTTAATCACATTTTCTTGGTTGGTTGTAAGTCATTTGGATTGAAATGTACTATTTTTTTCTAACAGATTGAGTGGCTGGCTAGAGTCAATTTTAAGCACAGACCAGTGCGCCGTGACGTACCAGAACAGAGACGTCACAAAGTCTCCAAGAAACAGGACTTGAATTCTTCCTTTTACGTTCATTGAAGAAGAGAATGATTTTGGTGAGTTGAATCCCCCTAAACTACTAATGGATGTCTATACATATCTTTTATTTCAATAAAAAATGTTATTTGTGAAGAGATTTTCTAAAGAGATAATCAAATAACAGTCCCTTAAGGAGGGAGGGTTTTGCCCCTCCCCCAATTAATTTTCTTCCATTATACATATACTACGCAGTATAGACAACCAATCAAATTTTACTGCCCCCCCCCCCCCGCATGATAATGTCTGATTACTTTTTTGGGGGGTTTTGCTTGTCAATAAATTTCTGTCCCCATTCCCATCCCATTGAAATTGCTCCCACGGGTCTGGATTATAACAAAAGTAAATTTTCTATTTAAAAAATTGAAAATTTCGCTAAGAAAAAGAAATATGTGAAATTTTATAAGAGAACAAGTTTTAGGGTTCTATTTAGAAATGACATTAAGAAAAAAAGTAAGAACAATACAATGGTACTTGTGATTATGTTTCAGAATTAGAACTGGTCCCAGGATCATGAGTCTGAGACTTAAGTCAGAATTTCAGTCAATCATAAAAGAAATATTTATTATATCCTGATGCTTTAAAGGAGATGGGTGAACAAGGTGTGCAGAATGCCTATAGCCTCAGATATATAAGATCATATTCAGTTTGTGAATTTAACATTTAGAGTAAAGTTCTCATTATTGAAATTTATGAAATTCTGATAAACAAAACTTTTCTGAGGAAAATTTTCTTGGCAAAATTATTCTGTTGATTAAAAATAATAATGTGGTTTTCGTGAGCCTCGAACCCTTGCAATAAAAATCCTGAGTATCATTTTCCTTTGAGACCAACACGCTAACCACTACGCTGCACAGTATTTAAATAATGTTTGTGATATGACCCTGGACTAAATGAACTTCAAGTATTTCTCCGAAAGATGCAAATGTTGTGTCATAAAGGTGTATTTTTAAGGTATAGTGGTTCTTTGTGTCATCATTTTGTTAACCAAAAATGTATATTTTCACGCAAACTTTAAGTATTAACTTTCGATGGAGCGAAGACCCACTCATATCGAAAAATTGGGTTACATGTCAATCTGATTAAAATCAGCTGTTCTGATACGCTACCGCTTACGAACAGCTGATTTTAATCAGATTGGTTACATGTATATGTAGTACGAGAAAATGACCTTTTTGCTCTCATTAGTGTGTGTATGCTATTCATAGGCAAATAATTTCAATTTTTGTGAGATATTTGCAAATCGAAGAGATTTTAAATGAAGTATACTTTCATTTTAGATGAAATATCAAAAGAAAATTTTGCTATAATTGAGATTTAATTTTTCACCTTCATGTAGGCATTTCGCTCGCCTTGTTCGCCCATCCTTCTTTAAATCAACAACATGGAAGGACAATTCTGAATAACATTTCAAATTCTACATGAGTCTATAATAAAACTTAAAGACAACTTGCAAATGCTGACTTACATGTATGTCTAAAACTGCTTCATGATTTTGGGGCCAGGTTATTGTAAGTGGATAAATTTGGCCTTTCCGATAATTAATTTGTTCATTTTACAGTTTGGCAATTTTGTATACGTAGTATTCTGGTCTGCGTTAATATTTATTTAGTGTTTTTTCCTCCTCTTTTCTCGCAGGTTATGTCTGCATGGTCGCAAATGGTTTGCTAACGTCAGACACCGAATGACCTCCACAACCGTCTCTGTACCATGTGGGCTGGACATTTTATGCTGCACACCCCTTATGTTTTGCATTCTGGGGCCGTTGCATCTGTTACTGAACTTTAGTGTTAAATAGTCAAGACATTTTCTACATACCTTGCAGATGTACATATATGTCTTATTATTTGGAAAAGTTTGCCTCCATTAGACACTGACAGGGACCTGTTGTTTTTATAACGCAAAATTGCAACCTGTACAGTGTACATCTGTCCTCGGACGACTTGGTGACAACGCCCCTTTTATGGGCTATGCGTGATTAAACAATGACATTGCAAGGTTGTGTCCATCCTGGTACCTTGTCCTCTGCCTTGGTATCCATGTCTCTTTTTGACATCGCTTTTTAAGGACAGTGGCAAGTCAGGGTTTTCCGGAGAAAAAAGGTTTAATACATGGGTTTTTTCACTTATGAAATAGTGATTGAGAGTGATCTCCCGTGTAGAATTCTCTAAGCGGTGAAAACCAATAAAGCGTATGTTACAGAGGTAAACAAAAACACGTGTACTTCCTTCAACGGGTAGAATCATCTATACATCAAAAAAGAAAAGTAGTAATGGCTTTGTTGTACATTAATTGTACATTGTATTGAGGGACAAAGAGCCAACAGGCCGTCATTTACCATAGTTATGCTCAGTATGCTGGGAAGATTTGACATATGGTGAAAGGTAGGTCGACCATGCCGATTGAGAACAGTTCTTAGGATGTGTGAAGGAATCAGCATTAAGTAACTACGAATAAAAGTTAAAAATAAATCCATGCCAATATTTTTATGACAATGTGTTTCAATCAATTCAGTCAATTAAATGATAAAAACAATCAACCAGTCCCTTGACCAATTTTAGCTGTTAAGGGACGCAACTCAGAAATGATGATCGGTACCGGTATATCCATGTCTTGTTTCTATATATACATTTTCAGCCAAAATATATATTGGTCATAGGAAATGAAGATACAATAATGTATATAATACAAAAACTCTATGAAATAAATGGGTTTTGAAGAAATATTATGGTGAAAAATTATGTAGGTCCCTTTTATCAACATTTTACATAGAAAATGCATTAAGAATTGTAAAAACACTAACTTGACAAAATCTAAAAAAGAATGTTGGATTGGTAGGTAAAACGATCCAGAATATAACCTGTTTAGTACATTTTAACCTACTCAAAAGTTCTTGAAAAATTCTATACAATAACCAGGAACCTTGCCAATGTCCTTAATATATTCGATCAGTGCATATTATCTATTCAAGATAGGTACTCTTCACACAATTGCTCCAAAGAAAATAGTTCCATTCATGATCAGTAGATAAAACATTACAACAAATATTAAGAATAATCAAGTATATTTAATACGTTAAAGAAAACAAAATTAACGTTAAAAGATTTTAAGAAAATCACTTTTTCCCCAGAAAAGCAAATAAAAAGTTTTCATATTCCTACGCTCGCTGCCTCCTCAGTCTTTTTCACGAAAATATATAGGTCACACTTCGATTGATAATGATAAATCTTTTCACCAATTATATTACTGTCATGATTATTGTTCGTTAATTGCCGTATATTTTCTTTTGAGTTAGAATGTTAATCATTAACTGTGTGTGTGTTTTTTCTCTCTTTTTTTAAATAACGGAATGGTTATTATGGTTAAACACTTCTCGGCAAAGCAACGTGATTTTCCGAGCTCGGAAAGATCTTCGCACGTGTGTAGACCTAGGCTATTTGGTCTTGCAAGAACAGGTGTGTGCACCGTTCCCTAGTGACGCTTAGATCAGTAGACTGGGTATCAGTACTTGCTACGGACATAAAGAAGTTTAGAACTATACACCAGTTTCATAACAAGTGCAGGTTTTTTACTCCAGGTGAAGCCCTAGACTGGGCTAGAGGGGCTGAGTTATGGTCATCGATCTAACACGAAAATGTACTATTTTTGTAAATAAAAACATTTCTAGAAACAAAAATGAAGTTTATCTTCAAAACGTCTGTATATTCAAAATCAGTATATGGTGGAGGAATATTCAGTGATGCTCCATAGCCGCAACCGATCTCGCGCTTTCCTTTGCGTTTGACAACGGCCGTCAATGCATCACTGGACGAGTTCATTGATTACTCTAAAAGGTGACAGGTTGGACCATCTTTAACATCTGCCTATACTTTGAGTGATAGTACTTTTTAATAGCACAAAATCAAAAAATGAATTAAAATCTATCCTTGATAGATCTATAGTTTTGCTATTTATAAAAATGGGCTATCTTTGATAATCCATAACGGCTTGGACTTGTTTTGATTTTTTTTTTTTTACAGAAGATTCTATCATTGGAAAGTTAGATGGTACACATGTAGTACAGGCCCATAGTACGCGGGATTTTTTGGGAGTCCCCCCCCCCCTTTGAAAACGTTGCTATAGGCCTGTAACATGCTATTTGGATTAAATATTCCTGAAAATGAGTGAGGCGTTAAATACATTTTTAAAATTATACGATTAATTATATTTAGTATATGTTCTATGTGAAATTAAAACTATTTTTATGCATGTGCAACTTTGTGATAAAGTCACTACATGTAAGTAACGTTATATATGTACACGCAGTTTGTTTCCTACTATATGCATATTTTATTCAACAAAAGATGTTGAAACTCAGTAGCCTAAATATTATGTCATTTTAGGATATTTATGTATATGGCACTTTTATAGTTGACTTTCTACAGCTCGAGTATCTCTGACGTTTTGTCAGTAAATACTTGTTTTTTTTATTAGAAATCATCTGAACACAATGAAAATTCGAATAAATTAAAAGTCGAATATCTTGGATATGGGGTAACCCATATCTATTCTTGTTTATGGGGTCATTTGTGTGGGTGTGTATGGGTATGTGATAGATTTTTTTTAAATTTTTTTTTATTATTTAATATTACATGTATATCATTTTGCAGTTTTATTTGCTTTTACAAATGCGCTATGGGCACATTTGTATATAGTACTTGCATGATTTTTTATTGTTGAAATAAAATATTTTAAAATTGATTTTGACTTTCTTTTTTTATTCGGCATTATCCAGAAATGTTGTCTGATCTCAGACAGAGATGATTTTGATTCTGACTAATGCATGAGTAAGAGGTTTACCGTTAGAATTTATTTTTGTTAAAATATATATACCCCCCTTCCTTTTTTAAACTTTAGTTTAAATGTCTTTCATTTACATAGGTAGTAACTCATCTCAGGAACAAATCTTCACTCCTATATTCCTGAGCCTCGATCCACCCTGCATAAAGATTAAAGTTGGAATTTCCCCACTTTTCCAGTTTGGAAAAAAAATTCTTGCTCAGTTTTTTTTTTTATGTATTTATTTATATTCATTTATTTGTTTTATTTTATCATTTAGGGGGGTGTCAATAATTTCAATCAAGTTTATTACCAATTATCAAGGGCTGTCCCTTTTACAACGATACTATGCACCCGTCTTCGCATAAAACAATGAGGCAAAATACATCAAAACCAGGCCCGTAGGAAGCAATTTCACTTTGAGGGGGCACAACTACACATTTTCAGTTGGGTCGGCACTATCCACTACCAAAATTTCTTGAGAAGCAAAAAAAAAAAAAAAAAAAAAGGCACCAGACGTTTTTATTGAGGGGGCACAAGCATATAGTAGCTATGTTTTCTATAGTAATCTATATATCGGCAAAATTATTGGGGAGGGGGGGGCACGGCCCTCCGTGCCCCCCCCCCCCTGGCTCCTACGGCCATGAAAACCCAAGTATTCCACGGGAGACTCCAATTCATCACTTTTTTCTGCAAGTATACCTTAATATAGTTTGCAAAATGCATTCAATCGACCGCATTCAGACAAGGTTAGAAAAACAAGTTCGATACAAGGCTTAGATAAACAGATAAAGGATCAATGGTCATATATTTCCCTGAGAAAGGATCAGTATTCTAAATGAACTTTTAAATAAAAATCTGCTGGGTAGTGTACCAAATAATTTCAACCAATCAGTCAATCAATCAATCCATCTTTTTTAAACTCATAGTATTGGACTGAGGACTTATTTAATAATCATTATCCTCGGAATGGAAAGGCGATTATTTACCAGGCTGTTAAGAAGTTCCCTCATTCATTGTTACATCATCAAACGTAGCCGTCAGCAGCCGACAAGACATTAGTGGTAAAACTGATCACGTGAATTCATACAGATACAGAACAACTGTGCAGGTGGCCGCATAATAGTGGCCGCAGCGAAGGAAGAAGCCAACAGAGCAATGTTGAGGTAATGGAAAGTTATGAACTTTTGTTTTAACGTAGTTGTTAACTGTATTTTTCAGGGAAAAGTACAGATGAGAGTTACATCTAGCAAGAATAATCTATATAGAATAATCTTACTCACGGGGGGGGGGGGGGGGGGGTAATTAGCCCGGTTTGACCCCAAACACTTCGTACACCTATAACTGAAGATTTTGGTGGTTAAAACGGGCCTAGTCTCTATGATCTAACTGTGTTTCGGAACAGGCCCTCAACACGTGGGTACGTAGAACATATTCATTTTAAGAACATACTATAAATACAAAAGATGACAGTGAGCACTTTCTGATAATTCGAGCTGAAAATATCTTTGAATTAAGTTTTGGTCTCTCAGGAAACATTCTGCCAAGCGTACCAAGTTTTTTAAGTGGCACATAGTACAGGCCAGTAATCCGTGATCATTTAGACCTCATTACAACAAAAAATCTTAATTTATTGAACATCAATCAATGATTCGAATTTGTACATTGCTAAATGTGCATTTAATGAGTTGGTTTAGCACTTGTTACCTATGAATTTCGGAGATGGGTAATACATGTGGGGTGGGAGTCGCAGTAACCTGGTTCTTGGGGCCCTCCAGACATGCTAAAGTGCAAACAGGAATCAACTTCAATAGTGCGTGCCTAGCCTTCAGATTTGCACATCGCTTGGAAGACATCGGTAACCACTTTACTAGGCTATATTTAGAGAAATGGATAGGCATATTCTACATCGAATATACGATAGGCCATGTTCGTAAGCCAAGGTTTTCGGTCCACTTCTTAGGGAACGAACTAAGCGGACCGAAAACACTTGGCTTTCGAAAATGGTGCTTCATTTTCCTATGCAAAGAAAGATAACTCGTGTGACATTTGTCGTTTTGTGTCTGTATTTGCATTTCTAAACACCTTTTCCTACATTATTCTTAATTGTAAGAGAAAGATGCTTTGATTTTTTTAATATTGAATTTACTATCAGTCTTTTTGCAGCTCCTAGTCTGATTGCCGTGTTTCAATTTATATTATCGAACACCTAACCATGATTTTGAGCTGTCAGATAGTACATGTAAATGAAGAAATTTAAATAACACGAGGTTTTAAAAAAAAAATCCCAAACTTTTTGATGTAATTGAAGAATCGCTACAATAGTTGATAATTTGGAAGAACTAAATTCACATTGACACGGTCACCCACACCCGTTTCCAGAAAATGATAGAACCACCTGGCAAAATTAAAAATGATATATAGTGATTTTCTTTCTCTTAAAAATCTTGCTCAAAAATTTTCATTCGATACATTTTAGATAATATGCAATAGGTTTTACAGGGTACTGACAGGCCTTAACAAACAATTTCAGTTAGGAGGAGGGAGGGGGGGCACAACCTAACAAAATTTTTGACAAGCCAGAAAAAAAATGCGTTGGGGGGGGGGGTGTCATTAAACGATTTAGATCGTAAACTAGCTTTCTTTTACACGGAAAAATTATTTAAGGGCACAACAGTAGACAAATTTTGTTTCCATAGTAAGGTACATACTGGCAAAATTATTTTGCCATAATTACCATGCACCCTTACCCCCACCCCGTTCCTCGGGCCTGACTAAGCACAACGTGTATATTGTTGTAGATGTTTTACAGTGATTGAAGATTTGGCCAGGACAGTCTGAGTGGTACACTGGAAGTGAAAGATCCAAAATATAGACCAGGTGATTAGAAATTTTTTCCAGATAAAACACAATCTAGACTGCTTTTACTAATCTTTATTTAGTTTCACCCCAGTCTAATTAAAATTAGATCTTCCATTCGCTCCCCGATTTTTCATATGTACCAAGGACATATAATCGGGGAGCGAATGGAAAATCTCATTTTAATTAGACTGGATTCATCCATTAGTATCAAATCTTATTTGTGTCGGAGTTAGATCTTTAACAAATGGATAATTATATATCATACCTTTATATATCATATATCATATATCATTTTCGCTAAGATGACCTTTTTAGTAGATGTATATTAATTAAAAAATATCTTTATTTAGAAAGAAATGCAAGTTTTTCAGTATAAAATAGGGATCCATCATCCAGGATTTATAATGCTAACACAAATGCAGAATCGGTATGATACGGTTTAATGAAATACTATATTGGACATTTATTTTGAAAAATATTACAATTTAAACAAAAGAAATGTTAATGAGAAAAGTTTGAATGCATTTTGGATATACATCTTCTGCAATGGATGAACTAATTCTTAGTGGGCCTGGCCATGACAACCAAACGAAGGAAAAAAAAAATGCATCCACGGCGGGATTCGAACCCGCGACCTCTGGATTAGAAGTCCAGCGCGCTATCCGCTGCGCTACGCGGACGATGTTAGAATGGAAAAATAATCCAAATTTAAAATTCAAAGTTAAATTTTTGTGAAAATTAACAGTGATTTAATTTTATTCCAGCTATAACAATACTGCTGTTGATTTATTAAAACCCATTTTTGATTCTGTGATCATTAATATTTATTCCTACGGCCTAATAACTCCGAGAATTTGATGTTATTCGATCGGCTTTGGTTCCTTATTCTAGTGTCTCGTAAGGTTCTTCCTGTTTGATTTTTGCTTGTAAATTTAAACAAAAAAGAAAAGGGATTCAAATTTACAATTCATAGACGTAAAAGAGATCTCTTTTATATCTCGATGTATAATTGTATTACTATAATATAATAATGGAACGAGTTCAGGAGACTAAGCCGGTAAAATCAAAAGACGACTGTCAGATGGCGTCTCCAGAAAGACAAAGGCGAGGTGCCAGCTCTGGAAAGCGTCAACCAGTACCCCCAGCCCTTAGACTAATGTCTCCATTTGATAGTGACCAGGAGCTGAATGACTTAGAGGTCGCCAGTGTTTTAGAAGGTAATTTTTAAATTAGGTGTAAGGTGTCAAAACTGTTATCATATACAGATATACATTAGCAGTGATGGAAGATAGAAAGAAAAGGGCACCTGCTGTTCTTAATGCAGGCTCTATATTTTATGATACCTGCAGATCATATTTGCCAAAAGAAAAATTATACTGAAAAATCAATGTTGTAAAGTATTTTATTTTAAAAGACGAAATAAAAACTGAAGATATTGGGGAAAAAAACCACTACAATATAAACCCACTTTATGTAGCTAACACTTAAAAATACATAAGTTGTTTGTCAAGAAAGTGGTTTTGGGGGTTGATTGTAATGTTATGCGTAAAAAGTCATACCTGCACAGGACTTAATATCCCTTGCATGCAGGTCTGGTAAAAGGACCCTGTCCCAGTTCAGGCCAATTGAAAACTGACCATTTTTTCCCCAAAATTAAAGTAAAATTTCAAATGACAAACAGATTTCGGTGCTTTCAACAAACAAAATTGAATTTGGAGATTATAAAAACGTGCATAGAGGAAAAGCCTACAATATAATTTCTTTATTTAACAGAAAAACATAAAATTTCATCAATATTTCTTACCTATTGTTACGTATTTTTCAATTTAAAATTCTCAATTTAAGGGTACATGACCCTGTACCAAAAACCATCAATTAATCCCTGCTGCAATCCTGTGGAGTCACATGTTCTTCTAGAACTATCGAAGTTAGAGGCAGGCCATCGAGGAGAGCATACATTTCATTACAAAGTGTGGTCCTTCTGCCATCATGTACTTTGTATCTCTTTGTTAAATATTTATTTGTTTACTAAGTAGCCAGTAATTGCTTGTCCTGTGTTCAGTGCCAAAATCACTTCATTAACAAACATAAGTACTCCTAGTATTAGCATTGTATGATATATCTTAGATATGGTCCTCATACATTGTAGTTTCTTCTCCCAATGGGGTGCCTCAGTCTCAAATGAGATGATAAGCTTACCACGTGATTCATAGATAAAGCAAACGTGATTCGTACGGCAGCAAAATTTTTACGCTCTTGGATTTTTTAGTTTTATTTGTGTTATAGTTTAGTTTAGATTATTTGTGTGAACTTTTTATTGGATTCTATTCGTGATTGCAAGACGGATTAACTATCTTTGGAACTTTCTTGATTGAATATTATATATCATAAATTGTCTAGTGGCGACGCACCCAAAGACATGAGCACAGACTCTGAAATAATGGCCGTCAATGGCAATGATCGTAATGCTAAAGATCTCAAAGGTGACGCACCTGAGAAAGCTGTGGAATCACTAGTTGCCACAATGCAAAAACAATTGTCAGAAAATCAAAAAACAATGCTGTGTCTAATACAAACTGTACAAAAGATGCAAGAACGTATGAATGGCGAACAAACAAATAAGGGGGAGAAGCGCAAGGCGCTGGATAATCCCCAGTCTGCATCAACAAGTAAAAAGCAGGCACCTGACTGTAGTAAGTCCGAGTCGGAGGCGGACAAAGACGAATTTGAGGAACTCCTGTCTGAAGTGACAGAAGAAAAAGAAAGCGATCCAGACGATCTCCTAGAAGAGCTAGCAGAATGTTTTGGTTCGGAGGACAAATGCAGTGAACCAATTTATGAGAAATTGGCGAAAGTCGCGAATGAAGGCATGCGGACAAAATTAAACAATGACAAAATAAAGGAGATCGGTGAAAAGTATAGCAGACCGAAAAATGTCGCAAATCTTATCACACCTAAAGTAAACAGCGAAATCTGGGCACATCTTAATAGGAAAGTCAGAACACAGGATGTCCGACTTCAAAAAACACAGGCACTGGTGTGCAAAGCTATTGTGCCACAGCTCCAACAGCTGGATATACTTCTTAAGTCAAAAAAGAAGGGGGGTGAAACAGCTCCGATTGGCGAGGTTACGAAACTAGCGATGGACAGCCTCAAATTAATGACTTTTGTATATTGTGACCTTTCATATCGGCGCAGAGAACTGATCGTTCAGCCGGACAAAAACGAGGAGTTTAAGGCTTTGTGCTCCAATGACCATCCGGTGACTGACAACTTGTTCGGAGACGACCTTGGGAAAGTTGTTGAAGATATTGTTAAAGGCAATAAAGTAGGGTCGAAGATATCCGGAACGTTTCCTAAGGATAGAAAACCTTATAGCAGGAAACCTTTTGGCCATGGATACAAGTCAAATTACACTCAGTACGGAGGATCGGGAAAACAGTCCCATTTTTTAGGCCACAGATCCACTCCTCATTTCCGGAAGAAGGCCCCGAGCACTCAATACAAACAGCGGAAATGAAAACTACAAAAGAAGTGAGTAATTTTGATATGAATTTCATGAACACAAATGATAATTTCCAAGCAGGGAAAATATCCCAGTGTATTGAAGCTTGGACAGAAATAACTTCTGATGCTACAGTACTATCAACTGTTCGAGGGTATTCCATAGAATTTGATGAATTTCCCTATCAAATGTGTTCACCAAAACCAATTCAATTTAACAATGAAGAAATGATTTTGGTAGATCAAGATATCACACAATTATTGCATAAGAAAATTATCGAAGAAGTGATAGATTCGGAGGAAAATGAATTCTTATCAAACATTTTTATCAGACCAAAGAAAAATGGGAAATATCGAGTAATTCTCGATCTTAAAAATCTGAATAATTGTGTAGAATACCATCATTTCAAAATGGAGACTTTAAAAGCCGCAATAAATTTAGTGACCAAAGATTGTTTCATGGCCTCAATAGATCTACAAGATGCGTATTATTCCTGTAAAATCAATGCTAATGACAGAAAATATTTACGATTTCTGTGGAACGGACAAAAATATCAGTATACATGTTTGGCAATGGGATTAGCGTCAGCGCCCAGAATATTTACTAAACTAATGAAACCCGCATTTTCAACTCTACGGAAACGAGGCTTTTCAAATGTTGCATACATAGATGACACATTACTTATCAGTGATTCTAAGACTGAATGTGTAAAAAATGTTAAAACCACTGCTACATTGCTAGACAACCTCGGTTTAACAGTGAATATAGACAAGTCAGTCTTTATCCCTACACAGAAAATCGAGTTTTTGGGATTTATCATCAATTCAAAAACAATGACAGTTTCTTTAACGGACGATAAGGCAAAATTTATACAAGACACTTGTAAGAAAATCATTGCCTCGCAAAGTCTGACAATTAGGCAATTAGCGCAACTGATAGGAAAACTCGTGGCAAGTGAGCAAGGAGTTCAATTCGCGCCTCTGTATTACAAGTCATTAGAAATAGAGAAAGATAGACTTCTAAAACAAAACGTTGGGAACTACGAAGCTCGTATTTCACTCTCGCCAGATGCCCTAATTACCCTACAATGGTGGATTAATAATGTGAATAATTATCCTCGGAAAATAATGCGTGATAACCCCCTCGTTACGATAACTGACAGCTCGGGGAATGGCTGGGGCGCTATCAATGAAAACAGCGGGGAGTGCATTCAGGGGGTATGGGATGACCACGATAAGGAATCTCATATAAATTTCCTGGAACTGAAAGCAGCTTTTCTCGCTTTGACACGCATGTGCAAATACTTGAAAGACTGTCATGTAAAACTGTATTTAGATAACACCGTCGCTGTTACGTATATCAATAAAATGGGAGGAAAAATTGAAACCCTAAATGAATTAACAAAACAATTTTGGGAATTTTGTATAAAAAGAAACATTTGGGTAACGGCATGTCATATAGCAGGTGTAGAAAATGTAGAAGCTGATTACCTTTCACGAAACTTTAATCCTGATATGGAATGGATGCTTGATCCGGAGATTTTTGACGAGGTTACAAGACTATATGGGAATTGTGACATAGATTTATTTGCATCCCGATACAATAGACAAATTTCTACATATGTTTCATATGCCCCTGATAAACACGCAATAGCGATAGACGCTTTTACAATTTCATGGAATGAATTGAAATGTTATATTTCTGTCCTTTCTGTATTCTCAGCAGGGTACTTCAGAAAATAATGATAGAGAATGTGGAAGCAGTCATTGTAGCCCCAATATGGCCGACGCAACCCTGGTTTCCCAAATTACTACAGCTGATAGCAGCGAGCAGCTATTTATTACCGAACAATCAGCAACTTCTGAAGCTACCGAACAATCCAGACAAAGTACATCCGATACCCAAGATGAGACTGGGTGTTTTTCGTGTGTCCGGAAATCGCTCCAGAACCGAGGCTTATTGGAGGACACTATCGACGTACTCCTCTCCTCGTGGAGGGAATCCACAAAGAAACAATATTGGACATATCACCAAAAATGGATGTTATTTTGTCAGCAAAGAAAAATTGATATTTTTGACGCAAATGTAAATAATGTTTTGGCGTTTTAAACAAAATTGTATAAAGCAGGTTTAGGTTACAGTGGATTGAATACTGCCAGAAGTGCATTTTCTTCGTTTTTACAATTAACAAACTCTGTAAATATTGGTTCACATCATTTAGTTTGTAGATTTTTAGGTCACCTGAGTCACTCAGGTGACCTATTGCTATCTGTTTTCGTCTGTCGTCGTGCGTCGTGTGTTAACATTTGAACATTTTCAGCTTCTTCTCTGAAACCACTGAACCAATTTCAGCCAATTTTTGCATATGGCATCTATGTGTGAAGGGGAACAAAATTTTTGAATTTCATGGTCCCTGCCCCCCTGGGGCCTGAGGGGTGGGGCTAAAACCATCAAAATTAATGCAATCTTTAAAAATCTTCTTCTTTACTCCTGGACATCAAGCAGTCAAACTGTTGACATGATTTTAATAAGCATTGAGCCCTCTACCAAAATTGTGAAATTCATGGCCCCAGGGTCAGGGGTTCTGGTGCTAGGGCGGGGCTATATAGATCATATAGTGAAAGTGCATTATTTCTTTGAAAATCTTCTTCTCTACTCCTGGGTATTATTGAAACAAATTGGATACAGAGTTATGATAAGCAAGAGTGACTCTACCAAAATTGTGAAATTCATGGCCCCAGGGTCAGGGGTTCTGGTGCTAGGGTGGGGCTATATAGATTGTATAGTGAAAGTGCATTATTTCTTTGAAAATCTTCTCTACTCCTGGGTATTATTTAAACAAATTAGATACAGAGTTATGATCAGCAAGGGTGACTCTACCAAAATTGTGAAATTCATGGCCCCAGGGTCAGGGGTTCTGGTGCTGGGGGGGGGGGTATATAGATCATATAATGAAAGTGCATTATTTCTTTAGAAATCTTCTTCTCTACTCCTTGGTATTATTGAAACAAATTAAATACATAGTTATGATAAGCAAGAGTGACTCTACCAAAATTGTGAAATTCATAGCCCCAGGGTAAGGGGTTCTGGTGCTGGGAGGGGGGGGGGCTATGTAGATCATATAGTGAAAGTGCATTATTTCTTTGAAAATCTTCTTCTCTACTCCTTGGTATTATTTAAACAAATTAAATACATAGTTATGATAAGCAAGAGTGACTCTACCAAAATTGTGAATTTCATGGCCCCTGGGTCAGGGGTTCTGATGTTAGGGTGGGGCTCTATTTATTATATAGTGAAAATGCATTAATGCTTTAAAAATCTTCTTCTCTGCTTCTGGATATTATTTAAACAAACTAAGTACATTGTTATGATAAGCAAGGCCACCTCTTCCAAAATTGTGAAATTCATGGCCCCAGGGACAGGGGTTCTGGTGCTAGGGTGGGGCTATGTAGCTCCTACAGTGAAGGTGAATTATTTCTTTGAAAATCTTTTTCTCTGCCCCTGGGTACTATTTAAACAAACTAAGTACATTGTTATGATACGCAAGGATGCCTCTTCTAAAATTGTGAATTTCATGGCCCCAGGGTCAAGGGTTCTGGTCAAAAGGGGGGGGGCTCTATTGATTATATAGTGAAAAATCAAAATTTCTTTGAAAATATTCTTTTCTGCTTCTGGTTAAAAAGCAAAGAAGCTAAGTATATAGTTATGATGAGCAAGAGTGCTTCTTCCAGAGTAATGAATTGCATGACCCCTGGGTCAGATGTGCTGGTATAAGGGTGGGGCTGTTGATAATGTAGTGAAAATGCATTAATTCTATTAAATAATCCTGTCTGCTCCTTAATGTTAAGCAGTTAAACAAAGTGATTACTTATGATGAGCAAACTTGAAACTTCTGGTGCCAGGGTGAGAGGCTCTGGTGTTTCTCGGTGGAGGGGGGGGGGGGGTGAGGGGCTCTATTGATAATATAGTGAATCTGTAGTGAAAATGCATTATTTCTTTAAAAATCTTCTCTGCACTTGGGCATATCAGAGGCAAAAAGTGTAAAAGTTGTAATGAGGAAGGGTATTTTTTCCAGATTTTTGAACATCTGGACCATTTGGTCAAGTGTTCTGGTCCTAGCCAGGGCTCAATTAATTTGCATTCTACTGAGAGGAGTTATTCCCCTTTGCCGTTTACTTTTGATAATTAATCACTGTAAATAATGTACTTGAAAAATTAATAGAATGAGAGAATTATGCAAGAATTTTTATTGTATAATACAAAAAGTATTTTCTTAGTTTTAAAGATCATGTGGACTTGTAAGTAATAGATAAATAAAAATGAGACAAAAATAACTTAAATGTTCATCAAAGACCAAGAGAGGCCAATGTAAGAGATTACAACATGGAATTAAAATAGTACAAAAGCACTGATATTTTGTTAATATGCTGTATGGTGATAGTGATAAACGGGGAACAGATTAGAACCTAATTTATGAACTGTTAATGAATAGTAGACTAATTATTTTGTTGATCCTGATCACCCTATTTTTCTTGCTTTTGGGCAACAAAGCTTCACCTTTCATTTCATTTTAATACTGTATGGATCCTCTAAATTGTTGTATTGTACACAGGTGACCGTTAAGGCCCTTGGGCCTCTTGTTGAGAGGTGTTTTTATAATGAAACCTGCTTTACCTAAATATAGTGTTACATGGAATGTAGATATTGTGTTGGATTATTTGAAATCTCTAGAACCTTTAAAGGATTTGACCTTGTTACATGTATCTCACAAGTTATTAATGTTACTTGCGTTATTGTCAGGACAAAGGGGTCAAACATTGCATTTAATAGATATAAGAAATGTACATGTCGATGACAAAATTTTGAAAATTGTTATAGGTGATCTGTTGAAAACATCAAATCCTTAGTCACATATGGGCGAACTAAATTTCTCAAGCTATCCTCATGATGAAAGTTTATGTGTTGTTCGTGTTATGAAACACTACCTTCTAAGAACGAGTAACCTGAGAAATGATGTTACAAACTTATTCGTTACAACGCAGAAACCCCATCGCGCGGTGTCCAGGGACACCGTCGGCAGATGGATGAAATCCGTTATGTGTTCCGCTGGAATTGACATTAACATATTCAAACCCCATAGTACAAGGGCGGCGTCCAGCAGCGCAGCGCTCGCGCGCAAACTTCCAATGTCTACCATCTTGAAGACTGTTGGATGGAAAAGTGACTGTGTTTTTAGAAAATATTATAACAGACCAATCATTGTGGATGACAATTTTAGTCAGAGAATGCTTTCCAAATATGATCAAGTTTGAATGTCACATATATATTTGTCATGTATGCCAGTGTGTATTTCTTTTTTAATAGATTTGAAACAAAATTGACTTCTGCTTTATATTGATTATTACTAAAAGACAAGATAATATTTATTATATAACTAAATCATAGACATTATGATTTACGATTATTTATACGTGATACACAGCCAAAGTAGGCTTTGATAAGGATGCAAGTTTAGCTTTATATTTAATATATCATAACTTATAGAAAATTGAAAATTTGGATTTATCAACTCTAAAGTCTCATTTGAGACTGAGGCACCCCATTGGGAGAAGAAATTCTAAAGTTAAACGAGACTTACCTGGAAGGTGAAGTTTGACTGGAATTTCTTCGACCAATTGGGGGTGCAGAGGGATCAAATGCCCTCCCGTATACTTGCAGTATACACCCACCCGTAAAGTATAATTTGATAAATCCAAATAAAACTCTAAAAGTATGAATCACGTGGTAAGCTTATCATCTCATTTGATCCCTCTGCACCCCCAATTGGTCGAAGAAATTCCAGTCAAACTTCACCTTCCAAGTAAGTCTCGTTTAACTTTAGAATTATATTTTATTTAAACATCAATTTCAGGAAAACAACAAGGAAATGACTGTTTATCACCAACAAAGTCAAAGAGACATGAAACACCTTTCAGGGTAAGAAGACAACTTTGACTGGTAATGAAACCCTTTGAAATCAACAGATAAATTTTATTTTTGTTAATCAATAAACTTATATTTTAAACTTTGAATGTAGCCTACGACTGTTATGACAAACTTACAAAGAGGAAATGTACAGACAACAACTCCTCTGTTTAAGAGTAAGGCATTATGTTTATTTAGTATGTGTTTCAAATTATGAAACTGCATGATTTTTTTTTTTTTTAAATTTTGTTATAGTGATTCAGTGATTTTTATTTTTGTCAGATATTTCTCTTCACCAAATGGCAGCTCAAGGAGAGCTCACTCACCTTCATCAGGAAATTAATGAGGGTATGTTGTCAGCCAAATCAGTTTTTTTTTTAAAACTTGGATATTAAAATAGATGTACCTGTGTCTGTATGAAAAATTTAACAAAGTCTATTAATATGAAGAAACTTAAGAATTCAAAATGAAGTGAAATTTTTCACTGAATTGAAATTGATGACATCATTCGACATTGGCATATGGACCTTTTCTGTAGAAAATTAAGATATATTAAAGTAAATTTTAAAATGTTTACTGTTGTTTAGCTAATTACTTACACAATCTATCTACTTATAATATTGAATAGGTTGTGATGTAAATAAAGTAGATGCTAATGACATGACAGCACTGCTCTGGGCATGTGCAAATGGTCAGCAGCCTGCTGTTGAGTTTCTGATAAAATCTGGTGCTGACATTAATGTCTCTGGCAGCCATGGTGAAAATGCTCTTCTGCTCGCAAGTTGCAATGGTTATCTTGGTATTGTTGAAATTTTTCTTAAACTTGGCATGGATGTCAATGTTACTGATGAGGTAAATGTTTTCTTGTGTGTGTACTTTCTTGTCCTTGAAACATATCAATTTTCGTTTATTGATTTTGTTTGAAAGTAATTTGATTTTGATCAATTCCAAACATTATCAAAAATAAAATGTAATTTTGTAGACAGGGAATACAGCTCTTATGTATGCAGCTTACAGAGGCCATGACAGTGTTGTAAAGCTGTTGCTGGAGTATGGAGCAGACATAATGGCTCAGAATGAGGATAACATGAATGTTATGGACATGGTCGTGGGTCAAGGAAACAAACTCAGTATGTAAAAATTCATCCTTAATAAGTGTGTATACATTTAGTGTATTTAGTAAATTAATTCCTAATTCCATAGGAATGAAGTTCATTTCCTCTTTTTTCATTGTTTGACCAGAGATTAGTACCTGTTGCTATCAACAGTGCTTGGTATCAAAATTTTAATGTATGAAATGTTACTTATATGAATTTCTTTTATACTCGTATACAATGTGTGTACTGCATGTATTTTTCCTAACTTAAGTACCTTTCTTTTGCAGTACAACAAGTTATTGAGCGGCATATGCTGTCATTGTTTGAATGAGACCATGTTAACAATGGAGTGAAATAGATCGAGTTTGGACCAATCTGTGAATGTCCAATATTTATCTTAAAACCAAGAGTTTTGGACATGTCACATGCAGTAAAGAAGCAGGAGCTCACACGGGAGCAGGTGCTCTCCAGAAAAGAGATCAGATACATGTTCTTCAGTCTGGACAAGAAATTAGATACAGTCAAACCTCGTTATCTTGAATTCAATGGGACTGAGAAAAAACTTCCGAGATATCTGAGGATTCAAGATATCAGGGGTAAAATACTTAAAGAATAATAGGTTGGGACTTCTAAATCACTTCGACATATTCATGGTATTCGAGATATCAGTGTTCGAGATACCAAAGTTCAACTTACTTCAGTAGTAAATCTGGAGTAAATTACAAGTTGATATCCTCAAAATTAAGACAGCCCTCCTTCACCATACTACTTCATGAGTCAATCAGATGAGTAAATGCAGTTTGCTTCTTATAATTTGCATTATTTTGTAGAAATAAAAAGAAACTCATTTTGATAATATTATTCCCATCAGATGATATGCTCACAGAGTCATATGTCACAACTCAAAACATACCTAGCAGTTCATTAATACAAAAAAAATGTTATATGGAATAATTTATGAAGCCTGAATTTTTTTTTTATTTTGGTATTACATGTACGTTTGTAGCTTACCGGGATCATATATGTTTTAAAAAAAATTTGGTTGAAATTGATCAGTGATTCTGAAAGTAGTTAAAGTTAACATCAAAACACATATTTATATATCAAACTTCGATCAGAAAAAAAATCTTTTCAATTTTCGTTGTACACTGACTGTTGATGATTTATTTTTAATGTTAAGCAAAATTTTATAGCTTTATCTGTTTAGTTCTGCCAAGGTGAGACAAGGTATAAAAAAAAATACCAGTATTCTCCAAAACGAAGCAACTCAACAAAGCTTGTGTTGAAATTTTTTTTTATTATTATTTTTATTATTTTTTTTTTAATAATTTTTTAACAACAAGAAGTCTAATTGTCTAAAATGAAATCCTGGTTGCATTGAGAAATAATCGTCATAGTAATTAGTCAGAATGTGTCCTTAGTCCTAGTTGTAATCAAAGAAAATTTTTCACCTACAAGAAACATTAAAACAAGCATCAACATTTGACTGCTGAACTCTGTTCAGAATTGCATTTAAGGACAAAAAAAATCTATCTCGATATTTTAATGTGGAAATTTACCCTTTTTGTGTATGAATGTATACATTGTACATGTATGTGATTGTAAATATAAGGACAAATTCAAAAAATAAGGTATTAAAAATGAGAAAAAGAAGTGCCTCTGATTGTAGAACTTCAGCATTCAGTTTTAATGGATACATGATGACGCAAAACATTTTGTATCTTTGGATTATCCATCCTTCATAATGCTTGAAACGCCTTGTAGGCTGGCGTATGAAATAAGATCTGTACACGAAAACAGGCCTAGGCAGAATGAAATATATATATAACAGTTAATGAAGTTCATTAGAGTTTGTATTTATCTATTACAACGTGCTTAGTACGTTGGAAGCACAAAAAAATGAATTTTGATACACTGTAACTGTTTTCCCAATATAGGATAAAAAAAAGTACATCTAGAGAAACAAAACACGATAAATTCTCAGCTACACAAAAACAAACAAATAAACAACACACACACACCCTCTCTCACACACACACACACACATGATACTTGTAATGCAAGGTCCTGTTATCTCAAAATAAGTAAAAGAAAGAAATTTAAATACATCAAACTACACATAGGATTTTCAAATGAATGAATGAACACGGATATTGAAATACCTTTTATGTATCACTATACTGGTAATTGCCTTTCTGAAAATTTTAAGAAGATAATTCTTAGTTGTAGTACATGATTGTATTTATCATGTATATATCAAACCGTATTATTTCAGATCTCCAAATATGTACAAGCTTACTCAGCTACTCAGCTCTCATGATGTTGGTGTTTTAGTTGGATTAGGGAAATTCATTCTTCATGCAATGATATTAAGTATATGTATATTATGTATAGATATCTTTTTTCATGTATTAATGGAGAGTTTATAAAGCTTACTCTAATTGTTGGTGTTGAGGAGTCGGACAGATGGACACTAGTGGTTCCATCCCCCGTAGACTCTCGCCATGCGTTTATATTTATGTTCATTTTGTATATGCTGATGGGCCGTATGGCTTAAAGTTGTTTAATAAAGAATTATTATTTATGCAGAATCTCGGTATTCCTATTTAGTGTACCCCCTGCTTGCTTTTGCATGATTGACCCTAGGAAATATGATGTGATATCCAACTTAAAATCACAGTCAACTTTACCAGTTAATTGAATAATATATTCAATTTTCAGATATTTTAGAGAGCTCTCATTTACTGTTCAAAATATGGCGAAAGGAAATTGCATTCTGATAATAGGAATGTACATTTAGTGCAAAGTTCTGGAAAGGAGACAAAAGAATTAGCACATGCGTGACAGGAAAACAAAGTTAACTTTAATGATTGAATTTAGATAGATTAATTAAAATAATTCTGACTTGTTTTACCTCAGGTTTTATTTTTGAATTATCAATATAGCATTTAGACAATGTGAAATAACTTTAAATTTTTTGATGTAATATAGTACTTCACATCTGACGTAAAACCATATGATTATTCAGTCATGTTTTAATGTTTGAATTACTGAGTTAGAGTAAATATAAAATTTAACTTCTTAAAATTTATATTTGCTCCCATCCAGTAAATTTAAAACATGACCATTTGTTAACTCTGGAAAAACATACCTTTATTTAAATGCAGAACTGTAGCATTACGGTTTTATATAAATTCGTCTTGACCATAACGCTACAAATATGTAGCAATGTACGGCGCAAGATGTTTGGTAGAATTTCTCTACTTTTCAGCATTGGTCAATCAACTGCCTTTCATTCCCTAATTCCATACGTATTCTTTAACCAACCTGTATATTTTATCCACCTCCTAACCTTGTATTGTCGTCTCTACAGACCAATTAACTCGCTTGTTTTGAATTTTAGGTTGATGACATAATTTGCACTTTCAGATCTCAGACAAAAAAAAATCAAATCCTTGTAAATAAGATGAAAATATTGTTAAAATGGCCACAATCGGCTGCAAATCATTTTTTATTGCAAGATTTCTAATTTTAGAATTTTATGTAAGTCACTTCCGAATTTATTCCCTTTTTTGCACATTAACATCTATATTCTGTTTACAGCAGACTTTAGCAATCTAATTATCTTTTGAAGTCAAACAATTCTTTCTTTTAGATTATGAAATAAAATGCATTATCTCTAAGTCACATAAAATAATGTCTACAACTTCCCACATAAAAACATGATGAGCTTACAAATAAAGTAAAAGGAAAAATTTGTCTCATTAAGTGAAGATTTACATAAAACAAATTTATCTTTTATTCTTCTGGTAAAATTTTGCATATTACAGCTGAAAAATACAGCAGGAGTTTACCTTTTATAAATGCAGATGTGAACAAAAAAAAAAAAAAGACCACATCGGTTAATTTGTCGAGTGGCAAAGCATGGAACAATGGTCTTTTGTGTGCAAACTTACAAATTAATTTTACACTAAACAAAGGTCAGTGTATTAATCTATTTCAGATTTTATTATACATGTGAATCTCTTAACGGCAACGATCACTTTACCCGAGATGGAAAAGGTTTCAGTTAAGTATATTTGTTAACATTATTTAAAATATTGTTTGAACTATACCGTTTAAATAAAAGATTTTTTTGTCGTGTGTTTGTTTTTTTTCTGTTTTGTTTGAAAGGTTGTAGTTACTTTTCTGAAATCGCAATACAAGCTTATACACGATTTTTTGTGACATTTAAAACAACATTTCCTTTGAAAAAACAGCAATTTTATTCTAAAATGAGTCGCATGTTTAAAATTCGTCTTGAATTTTTTTCCCCATTTAAATTCCATTAAAATGGGAATGATGTCATTATCATAAGAATAACCGGAAAAAATCAAATCCCCCTTATCTCCATACATAAAGCTCTATCCAATTGAAGTTATTTTCATGTTGTTGACGGCACACGTACTGAGCAAATGCTTACGGATACAAAACATCACAGAGTCAATAATCTCATATTGTGTAGGCTACACCTTGTATGATGGATAGCGATCATGATTATAATGGCTAAGACTATGGTCATCTGATCATAAAAATATTATAAAAACAACGCGGTATGTGTTGATAGAAATATGATTGGTAAGGGGGGAAAAAAGACTGACAGTCACGTAATTAAGAAAAACTATGTCAGTGGGCCGTGTCTAGACCATCTGTATAATGAAAGGTGTTCATTTCTTTTTTATTTGTTTGAAGTTTTTTTTTGTTGCGTGCACAATATTTCTTGCGTTCTCTTTTATTTTTGGTCTTGTATGAAATGATTTTTATACCTTTTGACCTTAAAGAACACGTAATTCAGGTAGAACACAAAGATTCACATTAATTTTTTTAAGATGAAACGATGTCGAGCAGAGAGTTGAACATGTTGCGCTGAAAGCACTCTTTTTTATTCTGGCCAAAAGACCATAGACTGAGAAAAAATTTAAGTAAAAAGTTTGATTTTTAATATCTTGAGTTTTATCTAATGTGTTTTCTTAAAACTTAAATTCAAACATATGATGAAAATTTTGTTTCATTTATCAAAATTATTTCAAAAGTTATATTGGTTTGAAATTTTGACTTTAGTCTGTTCTCAGTTTATGGTCTTCGGCCCTGATCTGAATTATATACAGTATGTATTTTATGTCAAACATTCAGTATTATTTTTCTAGTTTATTGTTTCATATACTTAATAAATAAATAAATAAATTCTACTCGATTTTCAGAACAATTTTTCCCTCCAAAATGCAGGTCGTTTTACTTAATATTAAAGTCTACATAATGACCAAATGTGTACTTAGCAACCCCCCCCCCCCAAAAAAGGGGTGTGTTTGGACCGACTCTTTATGGTTAAAAAACGGCCTCTTAAATTTAGAGTATGAAATTTATACCAGATGTAATACATATTGTCTTGTCTCTTCCTGTACAGATATGCCATGCAATAAAACTCTCTCGTAAGTTATTTTCAGGAGGAAGCAATAGAGATTTTTATGTAATTAGAGTGGCATAAATAAAAATAAAACTATAATTATTTTATACACCATGTAATTAAAGTGGTATAAATAAAAATAAAACTATGATTATTTTATTTTATATACTATGTAATTAGAGTGGTATAATTAAAGATAAAAATATTAATGTATATTTTTCCCCCACAACTGTATATGATAATAAAGATTGTAATGTTTGAAATAATCATCACTCAGGTATGAAGGTATTTAACGCAAAGAGTAATCTTTATTATTATCAATAAAATATATTTGCAGTCAAAATGTCTGAAAATAAGATAACTTTTTTTTTTTAAATCTCAAAGAATGGTACCGTGTTGATTTCAATGACTAATCAAAATCCAAACCATAACTTCCTAACAGTGTATCTAAATCGCCTGCTTTAATTTTAAATATAATAAATAGTCTGTGGTTGTCTTAAATCGTCGAAATAAAACTTCTCTATGCAAATTGCCATATTAGTTGTTTGCCTAAAAAGGGACATGTTCTTCTATTTATCATCTTATATATAATATATGTACAAACTACATGTATCTGCTTTAATTTGTGGGGAGAAAATTTACTAATTAGAAAGAGAGTGCAGCATTGCGGCATGTACATCTCCTGCATGTGGTCCGCGGCCTGTGATACATTATCATTGCATTAAAATTATTTTGGGGAAGGCTTTTTTAAAGTAATCTGAATGTAAATTTCTTAATTGTTTAGAAGCTACTAAAAATGAATGTATAGTTGGTTTTTAAGTAATAATTCACTCAGTATTTTTGGAAGTCATTTTTAAATTTATTTCCTCACTTTTTTTTTTTTTTTTTTAAATTTTTGTCCATTCTTAATAATGTTACTGTTCAGCTTCTAAACCGTAAAAAAAGTTCTTACATATTTTCAATATTGATGATCATTTTAAGGCAAAAATTTCGAAATTTCATAGCTTAAAATAAATATTTTTCATTAGAATACAAGCGAATGATGATTCCAAGCTGTTTGACTTTTGCTTCAAATGCTGTTTGTTTGTTTGTTTATTTATTCCTTAAGCCATATGGCTTATCAGATTACATAATCAGAATACAACATTACAAATACAGGATGTATAGCACGGAAGAAATATACATATATAAAATATCTACATATACTTGTTTTAACATACGATTGTTTGTATACAATATTTCCAACCAAACATTAAAAAGAAAAATCCTTAGTTTAAAGATTTAAATCTCTAAGTGCTTCTGCTTTTTGGAGGAATTTCCCTATATTACTTAGTTCACTCACATTTTCAGTTGATAAAAATTGTAAAAGTTTATACATACTAGGTCTATACCAATAATACTTTTTAATATACAATTTCCTGTACTCATGATAAAGTGAGCATTTTAATATAAAATGGTACTCATCTTCAACCTCCATTTGACAACAAAAACATAATCTATTCTCCCTAGGAATATTAGTAAATCTTCCCTTCTCAATCATTAATAAATGTGCACTTAGTCTATATTTTGTAATCAATTGAATATACTTGGTTGGAATAGGTTTCATTAAGTAGGATTGCATGCACAGCTTATTTGTTAAATATCTATACACAGAACACTTTGATGACGAAGGAAAAAAAGCCTCACATTTTTGTTGGAAACAGTCATTAATCTTTGTTTAAAAATTTTTAAAAATATATTTTTGTTTGTAATATTTTGACAATACCAAACTTCTCCAAACCCTAATGAAAATAATAAATATTTTACATTAAGTATAATCAATTATATTTTGTACAAGAACTTGTCTCAATTCTTTCAAGTATATCTTGGTAAATACTTTTCAATATACAATTTTCTGACTCCAATAATTTTAACCAAAACTTTATAATACGAATTTTCCTTTGAATAAAAAGAGGTAAGCGACCAAGTTCATTATAGATCATCGATGACGAGGTATTTTTTCTCACTTTCAACATAATTTTGAGATATTCTAAATGTATTTTCTCTATAGCATCACCTTTGTGGAATCCCCATATTTCACTTGCATAATTCAATATACTACTTACATAAGTATCAAACAAAGATAAACAAGTAACAAAGTTAAAATGCACATTTTTCATAGACTTCAAAAGTTTAAACATACATTTCCTCCCTTGAGTAGCCAAATTTACTTGAGATTTATGAAAATTACCTTTGTATGTCAGAGTGAGACCAAGATAAGTAAACTCATTGACAGCTTCAACTTCCTCATCATTATAATACCATTTAAAACTTTGATTCAATAGACCAGATTTCCTAAATACTACTATTTTAGTTTTACTTACATTTACAGATAGTTTCCAATCATTACAATATGAGTAAAACACATCAAGCATTTTTTGTAATCCTTCAGGAGAATCGGAAAATAATACCATGTCATCTGCATATAACATTAAAAACAATGACACTTCTTGGAGATTAATATCTTGACAATTAGACATGATAAAAAAGCATTCTCAAAATCATGTAAATATAAAGAAAAAAGTAGAGGAGACAGTGCTTCTCCCTGAAAGACTCCTTGTTCTACTTTAAAAAAGTCACTAAAAGTGTTTTTATATTTCACACAACTCCTAACATTCTTATACAGAGACCATATACTGTTAAACTTTTTCCCCTTGATCCCTAATGTTATGAGCTTTTTGAAAAGATAATTTCTATTAATACTATCGAATGCCTTACGGAAGTCCACAAAACAACAGTAGAGTTTCTTCCCATTCGAAAGATGTTTATCAATTATACTTTGCAGCGCAAAAATTGCGTCTATAGTACCAATCCCTGGTCTGAATCCAAACTGTGCATCAGTTAAAATAGAGTTACTTTCGGACCATTTCATCAGTCTATTATTAGGTCACCTGAGTTTACTCAGGTGACCTATTGCTATCTGTTTTCGTCCGTCAGCATGCGTCGTCCGTCGTGCGTTAACATTTGAGCATTTTCAGCTTCTTCTCTGGAACCACTGAACCAATTTCAACCAAATTTGGCCCATAGCATTTATATGTGAAGGGGAGTAAAAATTGTGAAATTCATGACCCCTTCCCCCCCTTGGGCCTGAGGGGTGGGGCTAAAACCATCAGAATTGATGCAATCTTTAAAAATCTTCTTCTTTACTCCTGGGCATCAAGCAGGCAAACTGTTGGCATGAATGTAATAAGCATTGAGCCCTCTACCTAAATTGTGAAATTTATGGCCCCAGTGTCAGGGGTTCTGGTGCTAGGGTGGGGCTCTGTTGAATATGTAGTGAAAAGCATTATTCTTAAAAAATCTTCTCCTCTGCTCTTGGGTATTTAGGAAACAAACAATATGCATAGTTATGATGAGGAAAGGTGTCTCTTCTAAAATTGTGAATTTCATGGCCCCTGGGTCAGGGGTTCTGGTGTTAGGGTGGGTATCTAATGATTATATAGTGAAAATGCATTAATTATTCAAAAATCTTCTCCTCTGCTCCTGGGTATTAAGCAAATGAACTAAGTACATAGTTATGATGAGAAAGAGTGCCTCTTCCAAAATTGTGAATTTCATGGCCCAAGGGTCAGGGGTTCTGGTGTTAGGGTGGGGCTCTGTTGAATATATAGTGATAATGCATTATTTCTTTAAAAAGCTTCTTCTGTGCTCTTGGATATTATGAAAACAAAATAAATACATAGTTATGATGATGAAAGGTGCCTCTTCCAAAATTGTGAATTTCATGGCCCCAGGGTCAGGGGTTCTGGTGTTAGGGCAGCGTTCTGTTGAATATACATGTATAGTGAAAATGCATTATTTCTTTTAAAAATCTTCTCTGATCCAGGGCAAACAAGCTGAAGGCATAGTTATGATGAATAAGGGTGCCTATTCCTATATTGTGAATTTCATGGCCCCCTGGTCAGGGGTTCTGATTTTAGGGCGGGGCTCTAATGATTACATAGTAAAAATGCAATAATTCTTTGACAATCTTCTCCTTTTCTCCTGGGTAATAAGCCGATGAACTAAGAGTATAGTTATGATATGTAAGAGTGCCTGTTCCAAAATTGTGAAATTCATGGCCCCTAGGTCAGGGGTTCTGGTGTTAGGGTGGGGCTCTGCTGAATATAAAGTGATAATGCATTATTTCTTTAAAAATCTTTTTCTTTGATCCTGGGTATTTAACAAACAAACTGATGCATAGTTATGATGAGTTAAGGTGCCTCTTCCAAAATTATGAATTTCATGGCCCCTGGGTCAGGGGTTCTGGTGTTAGGGTGGGGCTCTAATGATTACATAGTAAAAATGCAATAATTCTTTGAAAATCTTCTTCTTTTCTCCTTGGTATTAAGCTGATGAACTAAGAGTATTGTTATGATATGTAAGGATGCCTCTTCCAAAATTGTGAATTTTATGGCCCCTGCATCATGGTTCTGGTGTTAGGTCAGGGCTCTAATGATCACATAGTGAAAATGCATTAATTCTTTGATAATCCTCTGCTCTCTTTCTGGGTATTAAGTAAGCTTACTAAATGTAAAATTATGATGAGCAAGTGTGCCTCTTTCGAAATTGTGAATTTCATGGCCTCTGGTTTAAAACATGAATCCATTGTGGCGAAGTTGTTGCATGATACTCAGGTGACCTATAAGGCCCGTGGGCCTCTTGTTAAGTAAAGTTGTAAATATTTTTAACATACAACTCATAAGGGTAATGCCCCCTATAATTATCTGTTACATCTGGGTCTGCCTTTTTAAGGATAGGTACTATTTCACCTTCACACCATGTGAGAGGAATATTACCTGTATCAAAAATAACATTAAATATTCTTGTTAAAAGTGGGCTTAGGTCTTCACACATGTATTTAAAATACTCATTTATCAAATTATCTTTTCCTGGCGGTTTTCTGCTTTTTAAACAGTTTATAACATCTACAACCTCTTCAACAGTTATATTAACATCTAGTTCATCAAATACAGCATTCATATCATATTCTGTATTCGAAAAATCAGTATATATGTAACATCTTTACAGACTCCTAGGTTTCTGAAATGTTCAAAAAATTCTTCTACACTAAGATTACAATTGTTTAATTAAACTTAACTTATTCTCAGTGCACAATGTCCTCATCTTTGCCTAAAGTATTTCACGATTTTATTTACAAATGTAGATTCGAGAATATTTTATCATTATCACGTCTAGTAATTAGTAAAATATGAAGTTAAGAGATTCGCAGATTTATTGAAAAATAGGCTTTATCAGAATTAATTAATGTGGTAAATACTTTTTTATGGACAAGGGTTATAATATTTAAATTGCTTTGTTTGTAAGAAGCTGGGATCCTATAGGTCGAGCTAAATGACACAATTACAATGTATAGTCTGCCAACCAAGACAAGGGGCAACGTTGCAAGTTATACAACATGCAACTAGATTGTTCACGATTCTGCATTTTTAAAATATGCATCCACTTATATTTAAACTCGTACATAATACATTGCAAATAGACATGTACAATATTCATTAATGTCAAAGAAAAGAGTAATTTGTCAAATTGTGTAATTTATCGAGCACGTGCCCTCATCTTCAGACATTTAATTTAGGCAATTTGTACGAGCAGATAACCTTTCAGCTTTTAAGAGTCACGTGATATGTTACTTTACATTAATAACTTCATCGAGAAGGAAGAAATTGCATGAAAACTTTTTGTGATTAGTTCTTCAACTTGTATAATACATGTAAAATTGATTCCTAATAAATACAATTATTCAAAAATCACCAAACATTTTTATTTCTTCTTTTATATTAACCTTTGTCTTCTTGTATAAAAATTCAAGACGACCTTTTTATCAACTGATTGTTCTCATTGTTCTAGAAATTCAGGAAAAAAATATCTATAAAATCACTAGTAGATACAAAGATTTTGTGATTTAGATACATTTGTGCAAAACAATGACTTTTTTTTTAATTTTGAAAAAAAAAATTATATATTTATTCATTGTTATTTAGCTTTTCGTGGACAAAAAGAAGACGTTTAACCTCCAGTCAACACTTCTGTCCTCCTACATAAAAAAAATTGGGATCAATAAATCTTATCTTATCTTATCTAAAAAAATTATAAAGTCCATACTACATGTGACAGGGACTGATTGTATTTTAAAGTTAATTACTTACATATCTGGCTCTGAAATGTCGTTATTCTGTTCCAAAGTTGAATATTTATATAATTAAAGTTCAATTAGAAAATCAAATGTAAGGGCTTCAACGTCGTTTAATGGAACATACTGTTGGAATAAAGTATTCTACACGTGTAAGATTTCACATAAAAAGTTTTCTCCTATGTCCAATGACTCTAACCTGGTTTCCGAGGTCTCCATTGTACAAATACAGGTGCTTGGCTCGGGTGAGCATACAGTAATTCTTTTTTTTTTTTCATTCAATGTAACAAGAATAAGTAAGCAACAACTCATATAATCTATAATTGATTTAAAATTGATTTAAATGATATAGAATCCTTCCCTTCTTGTATTTTAAAATTTTAATGTCTTCTTTCTTCTATTTTATGCTTAGCAATGTCAAAACAAGTTGGAAACAAATTGGTCAAGGAATTGCTCATTGCCGGTGGTTTCCTAATGACTAGCACTGAGAAACAAATGACTTGTGTCATAAGTTTTGACATCCTGACAATGGTACAAGGATGTTACAACTAAATGTTTGCCAATTAGCGTAAAGTCTGAAGAAAATAAATTTTTCATCCTTTTTTAAGCCCTCGTCTTCTATAGTCCAAAAAAGATAAATCAATTTGTAACTATTTTTTAAAAAATAAACTAAGGATCTTAATATGCTAACAGAGAGTAGTGAAACAGTCTCTATAAAAGTGCTGACGATATACATTTGGTAATTTTCACAAAATCATCAAGATCGTAAATTTAAAAAATATAAGTATTTTGTCTTTGACGTTCAGTGTTGTTGGATGTAAATCAACCTAATTAAACTTTGATCTTTTCGTGATGAGCTATGTCGAAAAGTTAAAGATATTGACACATACGTTATAAATACGAACGGGTTCAAAATGCACTTTGAACTTGGTGCTTTTGGTTTCTTAGTACCTCTTACAACAATTAATTTATAAGTAAACGAGAGTAATTTGAATTCAACGACAAGATGGTTAGTCTATCATTTTTATTATTATGAATTCTGTTACTCAGTTTGGCACTTAAACACATTCTGACATCAGGCATTGGAAAACATGCATTCACAAACACCAGTAGTTTTTTTTTGGCAAAAAGCATCATAAAATGGTTTTATTTGGCACATAATCTAACATCGGTCGCACAACTCGGTAAAATATATGCATGACTTTGTGATAGAAAGACATTTTTGCATTTTGAATGACTTCAGTACATAGTAATCAAAGTTTCGGTAAGACCCGCCAAAAACATTATAACTATTAAAATTGTTCATACTGTTTATACATACTGTACACCAAAAAGGCACAGCTTTATATATATATATATTCAGATAAAGCGTTCAAAAATGAAGGCAAATAACATAAATTACAGATATAGTATGAGTCTCTCATCAATCACATACATTCACCACCAATCACCCACTGTCCGTCAGGCTGACTTGCAAAACATAAAGAATATAGCATTTTTCCATTTCAGACAGGAAATGATATAGTAACTATCAAAAAATATATATTGGTCCCGATATACATGTACATAAATGTACACTTCATACAACTTAAAAATGAAAGCACTTGAGATCGGTCACTGTTTTGACATCAATAACTTAAAATAGTATGAGGCAGGAAATTGTATGGAAAAATAAAACTTAACTTCAAAAGTCCTGAGAAGTCTTTTATGTTCTAATCATCGATGTTTTGAAGAAGAAGGAATAATTTCTCGCCATGTGAAGTAAGGTTTGTGTTTAGATCTAGATCGCTGTTGTTTTGAAAATGATTCTTTCTCATTTTTTCGAAGTTCACGTCTTTGGTCTTTAAGTTGCCGTTCTTCTCTTGTCCTTTGATTTTCTAGAATAAGACGCTGCCTGCGCTGATATTCTATGAGCTGTTTTTCTCTGAACAAATCAACCCCGGAACTAATTCTAGGTGGAGATGGTGGTTTATATGCAGTTGGTTGAGATTCCGTTGATGTTGCTGTCTTAGTTGTAGTTATAGATGGTGGTTTAGTAGAAACAGAATAAGCGACCATGTACTTGAAGTCATTCACGTAAGGTACAGGTTTGTTCCACCAATGGGAGTCTCTTTGAAAAGCCGCTTCAGGCAAACGTCGAGATCCCAGTTGCCCTTGCTGCCAAAAGGGAACAATTTTTGTTTGAATACTAGAACTTTGTTTCTGTTGATTTCGATTTAAAATTTGTTCCCTATTTGAAAAGTTTGAATATGTAGATGATTTGTTTCTTTTTGATTTGTGCTCCCAAACTGGGCGTTTTGAATTTGTAGATGACTTACTTGCCACGTGTTCCTCTTGTTTATTAAGTTCCAGGGGTGTTTCATCTACTGGGGTGTCTAGAACGTGCGCATTTGGGATTTCTTCCGTGAACGGACTTTGAGGGATATTATTTGAGTGTCTTCGAGGAGGTGACCACCAATCTCTGTTAGCATAATTAGACTGTCCTTGAATCAGTTCTAATTCTCTTTGTTTCTTTAAAGCTATTTCTATTTGTAATTCTCGTTGTCTTTTTAACTCGATTTCTCTACGCATTTCAGCAATTTTTTGGAGACGTTGTTGGATGTACATGTGCTGTTTTTCCATTGGCGATAACCCCATTTCGTGTCTGTTGTTTGTTGTGATTGTGTCAGCTTGTTGTCTGTTTTTTAAGTGGTCACATTTCCATGGTTCAAAAGAGTGCAATTCAGATAGTGGTGTTGGATTTTGGAGCCATTTGATTGTTTTATCAACAGAAACAATATATACATCGTCCATTTTCAGTAAAGTATTTATAAACCTGTCCATGGCATTTAGTCGATCTGCAATATAAAACCAGGACGGATGCATGTTGATCCCAAATGGATTTCTTGAAGTGGTATAGTAACTGTTAAAGTTATCCATGAGAAACTGGTAGGCAGAAGCTTCGTTTGGTGGTGGGTTATTGCAGCCATCAACGTAAACGCAATCATATTTATGCTTGTAGTCCAACAAAGAAACGACTGGTACTTCCCAAAATCCGGAGTGACGCCTCTTAGGACAAGGTTTGACTTTGCAGTCATAGGGCCAACCAAAATCAAGTGTAAAGGGTGTGGGTGCTTTATCAGTTAATTTTCTTTTACTGAAAGTAAGAGTAGCATCGTACAAGTATCCAAGTTCCTTGAGTTTTTCGGGCTGCATGTCCCCGACGGGTTCTAGAAATGGGCTTCTCCATCCTACAATCTCGTTTTCAGGTACTCCGCCGAACTTTGAGAGATTTCTTTTCTGTTTCTTTGCCTCTTGCATGAAGTTTGAAGCTTTCATATGACTATGTGTTACACTGTGGGAAGCAATTTCCATCCCCCTCTTGTAGAAATCTTTTACATTTCGATAGATGGTGTCTTGATGTGATATGAACATTGTCATCGATATTGGACATCTGTTTGGGTTCAATCTGGTTTCATTAAAAAGCTTTCTATAAAATTTTGAGGCAGCATCAGTTAAAGCATCGTCAAAAGTAAAGTACACAATTTGCGGTGTGTTTTTTAACGGAATTGGTAGATTAAGCTCACTTCGGCAACAGAAGCAATCTGGGGCTTTACACGTTTCATCGTTTTGACATTTTACACAAGGACTTAATAGTTCCACCACGGTGCATATTCCACACAGGACAGCAAGTTTAAGAACAGTTTTCATCATCAAATTTTTTTCAGAAGATATTTAAAATCTTGGTTCAGCTTATTCAATTTTACAAAATAAAAACATTGGCTGAACAGGTATCCTTGCTTAACTCCAATTTGAACAGGAAACTTTTACTAAGGCGAAACCTAAGCTATATATTCCAGATATAAAATCTTAGGTCCACACTAGTCCGACTGTTCTCTTTGGACGTTGAAAAGCAATAGACTTCTTAATATATTCAGCTGTCAGCTGTAGTCAAATTACGTTGTAGGCAGGACGCTTGTCAAGAAAACACTGCTTATGTATGAGTTCTCTATATGCCTAGAGGCACAGGGTTCCCTGTCACAACGTAAAATGAAGAGGAAAGTAATTTTCGTCACCTTTTATAAATTTGGTGAAAAATGCATTAATGAATTTCACTTTGTAATTGCTTGCATTAAATTAACAGCAGCCCAGATGCCCTTCTAAATTAGCCAGGATTTATGTTATTAATTGTTCAGTAATGAATACAGGATTTGTTAATTGAGGATTCGGAAAATGAATAATTCATCATCTTTTTTTAATACTTTTGATGATCAAAACATAAGTTGTTCTTATTATGATAGTTTGACATAAAAAGATTGAGTGGTATATCGGAAAATATTCATTTAGAGACAAAACATTTATATCTCATCAATCGATACATTGTTTCATATCCTAGAGTGATGTAACACAGGAATGTTAATTGATCAACCACGGAACATGCTTTCCAAAAATCTTGATGCTTTTTGATTTTTTAAATCTTATTTTTTTTAATTTGAGAAAGCACTGTTTGTGAACTTATTTTGAACTGATGTTGAATTTGATTTTCATGTAAATAAACAGAGTAAAAATATTTTTTATTTGCATATTCAACTTTTTGGAATCAATTATATACTCTCACGTTAGCAAACACCTGTGACAAAATGAATTAATAAGAAGACATTGCATCTGGTATATTTGAATTGTTTTTATAAAATCGCAGCAATTTTCATACGGCGATAAATAAAGTCTGCTGTAACAATTTAATTCCAAAAAGTCTTTGGATAGTAGTGTGGTTATTTGGATAGTAGTTTAAATGTTATGGATAGTGGCTTGTTTTTCGTGGATAGATGCATATTTGTTTGGTGGATTTTGCAAATTTGGCCATTCATCTTTTGAGAGAGATTAATTAATTCTTTCTAATTTTTCAATAAAATTGTGTTATGGGACATTTTTCTTGTATTACCAGTAACCAATTTATAATTAAAAATTTACCCGTACATCATATCGCAAATTAAAAAAACTATTACACATTACAAATCAGACATAGACATCACAATACCGATTAACCTTTTTAACAAGCAGAACCGAAAAGAAAGGGTTCTTAATTAGATACATTCACCCAGAGCGGAAGTCGAACAAACAGAAAAAAATGACCCATGACTCCTGAGTGACATGCCTAGCTAATAAATAATAAGCAGTGACAGCCTCAGCGCTCTGATTTGTCATTTAATGGCATTTATTTATGCACATGCGCCTGACTGTTAACGTGCATTATGATTATTTACATAAAAATTAAAATCCTTCTCTTTTATCGTTCCAAAATTAATTTCCGTTTTGGCATTGAGGAAACGAGAACTCTCAATAAGTAACGTTCTTGTAATGAAAATTGTGCAGATTGTGACATCATCACTTCTTTGATTACCGATGCAGACAGCATTTCATATTTAATCCCAAGATTCAGATAATATATCATGACCACATTTTGATGTACACTTTGTTTAATCTGGAATTTTTTTTTTACCTCTTGATAAGTTATTAGTAAAACATTGAGTTTCTTGGAACTGGTTCTCTGTCCTTGATTCCAGTCGCCGCCGCTAGGAAAATTTACAAATAAATTTTTCAAGGCGCTTGCCCTCATTAACCAGGGTACCAGTCTAATATGTACATATGAGAATCGTGGATCAGGAAAGTGTCCAAACACAAAAGAAGCCGCTTTCCTTCAGACAATGGTCTTAAAACTTACTAAGTGTCCATGTTTTCTAGATGGGAGAATCCAAAATCATTTTAGGCTACTTTAAAATATCAATCCTAAGGGATCCGGACCCCCTTGACCGTCTTTCTGAATCCGACTATGAGTCGGCTATGAGCTATCCCAAGAATAGTAAAATTTCTTGATTTCTTTGCAAGAACAGTAAAATTTCTTTCTTTGGAAACAAAAACTGAAAACCATAGGAAGCTATTTCAACTGCATTTCAAGAAAAGTTCTATCTCTTTATAAGTGTCTGACTTCTGCCCACATTACATTTTCGCTTCTACTTTCAAGCACGGTGATAGGGCAAATACTAGTATTTCTGGATCACTTTTCTAAATAAGTACTCATTTATTGATTTGATTCATTTGAAATGTTAAGAATATTGACCCCATCTGCTTTTTTAGATTAAAGTCAATTTATTCCTGCAAATTAACAAATGGAAGGCAGGCCAGACTTATCTAAAGGTTGTCAAAAATACTATGTCCAGCGAGGATTGTTTGGGCAATACAAAATGAAATCCATCATATGGAAGGCAATATCTGTTTGAATTAGAATTTAGAACTGCAGTAGAAATACCGTTTATAAGTCATTCAACTATCAAAGGACCAATTCTGGATATGTAACATGAAAAAACAATTGCTTCAAAAGGCCAATTGAGCAACATAATTCTCTAAAGGACACGTCAGTGCAATTGAAAAAAAATGTCCATAAATATGGTATCATTAATCTTTTACTACAATTTCGATATACCCACTATCATAAGGCAGTTAATGCTCACATAGGACTCATTATTCATGGCCGTAGGAACCGGGGGGCCGTGCCCCCCCCCTCCCCATAATTTTGCCGATATATAGATTACTATAGTAAACATAGATACTATATGCTTGTGCCCCCTTAATAAAAACGTCTGATGACCTTTTTTTTTTTTTTTTGCTTGTCAGGAAATTTTTGGTAGTGCCCCCTCAACTGTCAACTGAAAAATATGTGGCTGTGCCCCCACCCCCAAATGAAATTGCTTCCTATGGGCCTGATTATTATTATTATTTTTTAGATATAAACCTGAATTTAACCTCTTTTCGTTTTCTGATGTTTTCTTAGTATAGAACGTAAAAAAAAGAAGATTTTTGAAGTCTGGACCGAATCTTTGGTCAAATTCCGTGGAATCTTGGTTAAAATTCTGTGGAAAAAATCGCTACGCAAGTTAAGAAGTATTTGGTCACTTTCTTGTAGAATGATTATCATGTTTTTATACCTCAGATATCGAACAATGGAGGGAGGGTCCATCAAACGATAAGAACGAAAATATCAAAGTTATACTGCCATCCACCAGCTCCCCCTAAAAAAATGTATTAAAGGGCATCATAATAGATTAATGTGAGAGATAATTATCAAAATCCACCCTCCCGTTATTAAAACCCGTCAAAATGAAATAATTTGCGAGATGATCAATATTTTTCTGAAAAGTGATTGTATTTTATTAGTGGAACAAATTACCATAATTTGGTTACGATATTAGTACTTTATTTTTTTTTTCGTTGTTTATCATATGTCTTTGTGACATATATATAAATTATATATATATTAGTGTTTCTGTTATAAACCATAAAAATTTGGTTTAATGTCTTAGTTTAAATGTAAATATTTCACCGTATCTCATTTTAATATAAATTTAACTTATATTTACTCTGAAATAAAGTCATTCAACTTAAAATGATAGAGGAATGACCTTACGAAAGAAATGAAGAACGGTCATATACTAGTATATATACCAGTTTGATAACGTGGTGAAGCCAAAGCTGTCAACTTCGTCCTTCTAATTGGGGTGTTATCTTCATTAAATTTTCTTTAATTTTTCTTTCTTTCCCCCCCCCCCCCCCCCCATAAATTTACGTTTACGTATTTTCAGCCAATAACGTGAATCTACGTGAACCTACAATGTTTTCATAATTATGAGAAAAAAAGAAGCAAACATTTCTTCCGGAATTCAAAAGAACATTTGGCAACACAAATTCGATATTGTGTATTGTTTTCAGTGTAATTGCATGTTTCAGATGAAAAAAAAACCTCTTTGTTAATGTGTGTATCTTTTGGTTGTTATTTACCTTCCTCTTTCAAGAAGCAACTAATTCATGCAGTAAACTTTTTCTTTTGCTTTTTTAAAAAGATATGAAATTATATATATAATATATCAACCGGGATTTTTTTCGGGGGGGGGGGGGGGGGATTCAGAATGCATTTAAACTCCAAACCAATTCTATACGATTTATATGGTGTCGAGTAAACATATATATGATGTTGTGTAAACAGATTCTACACATATGATGTTGTCTTTGTTGTGTAAACATCATACATGTATATGGTGTTCGATAAACATAAATATACATTAATTTTATATGGTGTTGTGTAAACATTCTACACATGTATCACAGGCTTTTGCTTCTGTAATAATTCTTTAACCCATAGTACATTATAATAATTTGGGTTAAAAAAATTTATTACAGAAACAAGTGTCTGTGTTATAGATGGTGTTGTATAAACATTCTATACATATATGGTGTTGTGTAAACATTCCACACGTATATAGTGTTGTGTAAACATTCTACATGTATAATTCAGTTCTTTATTTTCTCTATGCAATATGGCACATCAGAAATATGACACATGTACAAAATGAACAATAATACGGATAACACTTTACATGTTTATGGTGTGAAAACATTCTACATGTATATGACGTTTTGATATTTTAAGGAATTTGATTATACCAGAATTATGATATATCAAAAAAGTCCACAAAAATAATCACTCCTCTAACTAAACACAGCTCTGAGTAGTTTTAATTATAAAAATTCCCTGGAACATATGATCTGATTGTGAGGTGTGGGTTACACAAAACATTTCTATATAAAAAAAATTATTTATGTGCGAGGTTCTTTATCAGAAAATTAAACAGGAAATTTACGTTTATATGCAAAAAAAGAAGAGATAACATAGATGGCATGAAAAATGGATGTGAAGTCAGCAAAACCCCAGCTTCCTGGAACAAATCACCATTCACGAAAGCAGAAAAACCACAGATGCAGAATAATAGACCACCTTTAGAAGTATACCATGACAGAAAATGATGGTATTTGTAATTTATTTGTTTTTTTTCTTCACCATATTCTTTTTTCCGACCAATATATAAGGGGCTATTGATAAAAGTTACAATACTCTTTAAATTTATAGTGGTTTGTGGTGTAATTTCACCTAGACGATGTCTAGAAATTAATTTAACTCTTGTCTGTTCTAAGATAAAGTCAT